CTGATTAAATAATGTGATGCTGTCGGAGACGGTCTGAGAGGTATCTTTAAGGCATCGGTTCTGCATTATTAATGAAATAAAGACAGGAATCCACACAGAGCAGACAGAGATGATTCTCAGCAACCTCATGTTGAAAATAAATGTATAATAGAAATGTGAAATGGTGACGTGCAATATGGAATCTCTAGCTTCATTTGTAATATTACTGTAGTACAGGATTTATTCAAAATATATCCATCTTTCTGTCATAAACCATTTCTTTGCATAAAATTAGAGTTGTTTTACATGGCCTTGTCACCTCCTGCATTAATTACCTCAACTCCTCTTTTTGGTCTTTCTCAGAAATTCCTCTTAAGCATCAGTTGGTCCAGAATTTATCTGCTCATTTAATTTGCAAACCCCCCCCTTTTTTCATCATATTACCTCAGTCTTAAAGGAGCTTACTGGCTCCTCGACAGCTTCAGAATTCAGTTCACATTCAGGTGATGATTCCCCATACAGTACCTCTCAGATTTCCTTCAGATTACATCTCCCATGCACCTTATTTAGCCTCCTGCCTGCTCATCACCATGGGAAACAGCTTTCTTCTATTTCCACCATTTAAATCAAGAACGCATACCCTTTAACTGCCCTGTCCTGTTTTTAAAATCATTTATTATTATGTTTTTTGTATTTTCTCCTTGGGTGTCTTGAAATGATCTCAGAAAGACATTAACAAACATTTAAGAAAACAAAAAAGAAGTTGCATCCTTTTAAAGTCAGTTGTGTAAATGCTGCTTCCATTTATCAAGGATTTGCATCGTCATGCACCAGATTACGATTGACAAAGTCCTGTAATCTTATTCTTTTCATAGTTCAACATGGGTTAAACTTTAAAAAAGCTGGCATTGATAAAAATAATTTGTCTAAAAGCTTTAGATTTTGTCTAGAGATCTTCTCTGTGTGGATAAGGTTGCTGCATCTGCTTTAAAGATCTTTGATAAAGATGTTTAGGTATTGTGTGTAAGAAGCTGGTGGGCAGACAGCCAGGCTATGATCTAAGCAAATAATAACAGCATGTTTTCACCATTTTAATATGCAGCTGGAAACATGCATGTTAAAACAGGTTAGTGGTGATGAACTGTCCCAGATAGATTAATATTGTTGAATACGTTCTTATCTGAATAATTCAATGCTACTGTATCTAGTCTCTCTGCTTTTTATAAATGCAGGGTTGCACATCTGCAGCACAGCTGGAAGTAGGCTACAGAAGGATGGGGGCTTGAGAGAGTAGCAGAGATCAACTTTTCAGCATATGGGCCAGTAATCCTAGCCTGGTATTGTTTTTTTTCTAGGATTCTTGCTCCTTCCTCCCTCTACATCCCATTCAATCCAGCTGCTCGATGTTAAGACCAAAGGAGGAACCGTATTAGATCTGTCTTTCTATGTCAAACTAGTTTCATTTAGGATCAAAGTTGTAGGTAATTTATGTGCATTTTATTTCAATTAGTTTTTTTTTAATAGTAAGCCCAACATTTGGTGGCACCTATGTGGTTTGTCCAAAATACAGCTGTTTTCTGAAAAAAAATCATGCTTCATCTGATTCTAGTGTAGTTTATCTCTTCCTATATCTGTATGTTGATCGTACTCTGCAGGAAAGAGTAAAATTTGGGTCCTTTTGAGGCTTATTTAACAGGAACAGGATGCCGAGTGTGTGACAGAGTCAAAACAAACCGTGAACAACAATAGAGCCCTGATGTCACTGAGGTAAAAAGATATTTTGGGCTCAAATAAAGTTTACATAAAGAGAACCTGCTGAAGGAGCAGTTCCAAATAATTTTAATCATATACCGCCTAACTTCATCAGTCCTGTTCAGCCTTAATACTTTAGTATTTCTTAATGAATTCATAGTGCTGCTTGTTTTCTAGATTGCTGGAAATGTTTGGCATGAATCAGCCGTTTAGTGTAGTACATGTAGTGAAATGTGGAAGGTCAAAAAGGCCAGCAGAGATGTTGGTACCAGGCGTTAATGGAGACTAACCTGCTCAGGAATGTCTGTGGTGTGTGGTGTTCCTCTCCACTCACTGTGGGTCGCCTGGACTCTGTCATCAATCATACATGTAGCTGCTCCATCCAGCCCCTTGTTTGGATAGCTGGAGGACTGGGCTTTCATCTATGTGCTTTTCTCTTAGTTATGGTTCAGAAAACTATACTTAATTATTTGATTCATTGATTCAAATAAAAGGGGCTGAACTATAATGGCCCTTGTGTGAAATCCATTATCTGTTTTTTTATCTAATTTGGAAAAAAAAAACAAAACATTTTAACGTATAGTTTTAAATAGCTGATTTCAGGGCTGCAACTAAGTTTTATTTTGCTAACTGATTAATCTCTAGATTATTATTTATTTTTTTGCGATTAATAATGGGATAGCAAAAGGTTCCTTAAAGATTTCTTTAAGAAAACCAGGTGAAACTAATGTTTCCACTTAAGGAGTTCTTGATAGAACATACGAAAAAGTCTTGTGAAATGCCAAATATTTGTTTTTTTGTTGTTTTTTTACCGGGTTGCTCCAAGCTAAAGGCATGCTTTAGAGCAGGAGTCACCAACCTTTTTAAGGCTGAGGGCTTCTTCATGGTCACTTGAGTCATTGGATGGGCTACCAATAATGACCTGTGAGCTGGAGCATTTTACATGCATAACAAGCATATTTGTATTGTTTCCTATAATTTCTAATACTCTTTTTGAAACCTCTATAAATGCTTAAAATCTACATATGATTAATACAACGATATCCTGTATAAATAATTAAAAAGGAGAATAAAATAATATTTCAAACCTGAGTTAATCTGTTTTTAGAAGACGCTGACCCGCAGTGACCCCTGTTTTAGAGTTTCTATGCTGCAGTTTAGGGATGAAACAATTAATCGGATTAATGGAGATTAATCAATAATTGAAATAATCGTCAACTAATCTGGCGATCCATTAATCATTGACTGCAGCGTAGAGTCTCTAACACATGACTTTGGCTGACAGTGAGTCAATTAGAGCAGTAACTATACCAAGACTGTAAAAAGATATTTTTTGCATTTAATATAAAATATTTTTTGTGTCAATATGCTCTATCCAGCCTCCTCAAGTGGAAAAGTTTCAGTTTTACCTTGTTTGATTACCTAAAAAGTCTTCTTTGAAAAGCCTTTGGCTATCCGATTATTCATTAATCGAAAAAATAATTGACAGATTAATCAATTTAGCAAAATAATCGTTAGTTGCAGCCCAACTCCAGTTACCGATTAATCGATTACAAAATTAGGTGGTTATTTTAATAATCGATATTGACCAGTTTCATTTGACCGAAAGCAGAGATCCAGTTCAAGTCCCAGTATTTTGTCAAATACCATGTTTGTTTAATGCTAAGAAAGAGAAGGCCATTTCCCATCAAATGGTGTCTGATGGTTGTTATGAAGACTTGGTGACCCTTAGTGGCCACTCTGCACTGTATTGGTTTCATTTTTTTGTGATGGCTAGATAAACATGGGGCCTCTTCGAGCTTCAGATGAATTAATTTAATGTTCTTTTGTCTATCTTAATTTGAAGAATGGCCGAAAGAAACACTTTCTTTGTTGCATGATATTTATACTCCAAAGAAAGAAGAAGCCTAATCAACTAAAAGAGTAAATATCAAGTGCACGACCTCCAGGATGGGCCATCCTTCAAACTACAGTCTAGTGTATCACAGGTTTTCAACCAGTAGCTCCTCTCGGAGAACCATATTGTAACTAAAATCAAAGTTTCTGTCTGAAAAATTGCATTAAGCTTTATGTTTTCGTAGATTTGCCAAAAGATGTGGGAACAAATGCTTTACTGTGTTAGGCTCCTGTTAAAGTGCTAAAAGATTCAATTTACCAATTTAAAACTGGTCCTTTGCTTAGATTCAATTTTGGTTGAATGGACGAGCCTTTGTGTTACACCATTATTAGGTCCCAGGGGACATGAAGTCATGCATTTCTGATTAACGGTTCCAGACGCTGATAAATATATGGAGGAAATTATAGCAGCTTTTTAGTTGTTTTATGGAGATTGCAATGACCCCCCAATACGTGAGACATGAGGGGTTTTATTTAAACATTTTCGTTCCTTTAAGTGTTAAATGTGAGGATTCTCCATTGCATCCTTTGCTACAGAGATGCTGCTGGTTGAATTTCAGTTTTCCTAGATATTTATCTTAAATGACTTGCATGTGGGCTATTTACAGACTCTGTACAGTGCTAAAGGGGATTTCTCAGCAAACTCATAAGAACATGTTGTTTTTATCAAAGGAGGACCCAGACTTTGCCTCAGTGCTTATGTTCTGTCTTTTCCTGAAAGTTTACATCTCAACTGATCTCATTATGCTAAACCAGAGCCATAGGACTTAAAAACATATAACCTAAGCAGTGCTCCTCTCTTAATGTCATTTTATTACAGCATTTTGTGGCAGTAATAAATATCAACAATTTCTGCGATGGGAAAGGCATTGGTTTCTCTCAACAAGTAATTGGATAGTTAGAATGAATGATAGATTCCCATCAAACTACGGAAATACTTGCCTAAGACGTCCATCTGTAGGACTTCATAACCTGAAAGCCTCAGGGGAGATTTAAAGTTAAATAGGAAAAGCAGGTTGCTTTGCTACTGCTCAGTAATACTGATACTGCAAATCAATGATCTTGGTAGTTTGGAAGAAATAGTTTTTTTCTGTGTTTAAAGAAAGCCATTGGAGCCCTAAAGCCTCTTTGTTTTAACAGCAAACCTGAGTTCACATATTGAGGTCACTGGTTTAATTACTTTCCTAATGCTCATTTCTTACCCTTAGGGGTCTGACACGGTGACCCCAGAGAGGCAGAAAATAAGGGAGAGCCTGTTGCACCAACCCCCTTCCTCCCTCCTCATTCTTCGGTAAAGGTCCAGTGTAGGCTGTCGGGTCTTGACTTTACGCATTTTTAAAACTGTCTCAATTTCTTCAAATCACATTTTGTTGGGAGTGATAAGTGGCTCACTTTACTAACAGAGAGACATGTGATAAGTGTTGAACAGTCATGGGGATGCTGCCCCACTTTGTTATGGAAGTTTGAGATGCCAAGCATGCCGAAGCTACAAGGCTCGAGACCCCTGGGAGAATAGTACTTTTATGATAACACGGGCCTTATGATCGGCCATGGCTGCCTGGGCTGCGGAAACACGGCCTGCTGGGTAATAAGTCCTGGAGCTCATTTTGTTTTTTGTCTCCAAGGCTGCAGGGTTAATTTGATGTAGCATTCATTTAAAGGCAAAGAGAAGACCTTGTGCCAAGCTGAAATGATATTTATGATAATGCATTTCCCACTTTTATGTAATGCAAAGTTTTAATCGGAATAATCGGCTCAAGTTTTCTGTATTTTCTGTAATTTTGCTTCATGCTGCACTTAATTTTTACAGTTTTGAGAACTTCATGTGACTAATTTACTCATTATTTTCCCCCACCTCAAAGGAAGTGGCTCGTCTTTCCTGTTTTTCCTCAATTAGTGGCTCAAAACATCCTTGTGAACAAGTTACAGTCACAGTGTTACTTTGAGACCTGACGTGGTGAGGGGGATATTCTCGTTATCACTGGCTGATTACAGACTAACATTTCAGCAGATATTGATGTTGTGGGTAGAGGTAGAAATCTAAATAAACTGTAATTTCAGCTGTTTTTTTAGGTTTTGATTAAATAGAAGTGGAAAATATACGATTTATTTTAGAGAACAACAAGATAAATGGCCTTGACACAATTATGAGTGCATCTTAGTAGGTTATGAACTTGAAAAATTTGTATTCAGTGGAGAGAAATAAACTCATATTTGTTACGCAGTGAAGGACATGTTTTCTTACCACAACACAAAATACAGTTTGTCTAATTTATCTGGATAAAATCTTTTTTTTTTCTTTTTTTTACAGTGCAGGTTCTCTGTGTGTTTAGATAAGGTTTGTTTGCTGGCCAGTTTGCTTAAAAAAGAAAAGGAATTGGTAGCTCTAGCACTGTGGATGATTGAAAAATCCTGTCAGATGATAAAATTGGCATCCTTACTGAGTTTTTCAGCAGAGGGAAAGAGGAAGTGCTCTTAAGGTTCCTTGGCTTTGAGACAAAATGTGTAATTTACTTCCATCTAAAGCTTCTGACCTTGCTGCGGTAGATCATGGGGGTTTGCACAGCAAAGTGCATAAGTTTTACCTTTTTGTCCTAATTCTGTTTGTAAACATTAGAGATGGAACAACCATCGGCTGACCAATATTTTTGATGGATATTGGCTTTTTTTTTCTTTTATTGGCTGCATTGGTTGGTCAGTTCATTAGTGCATTAGGCACCTATGTCTTGAGATCATGTGAGGGACATACGTTGCTGCTCTTCCTAATAGCCATCTATCATTAATTTCTTTGTTTAAATTGAGTCTTTATCATGTAATTGAACCAATAAAATAGAAATAGTGGCTTCAACCCCTTTAACATGAATCAAAAAGCCTAACTACGACAGCAGCTGCAGTCTAGCTCTGTTAATGACCTCGTATTGAAGTCAGCTTTGTTAAAGTAGAGACGCATCTAAGGGTACGTTCACATTGCAGCCTGAAGTGACCCAAATCCGATTTTTTTTTTTTTTTTTTTTTTTTTTGCGCCCATATGCGACCTGTATCTGATCTTTTCATGGCTGTCTGAACAACAGAGATCCGATTTTTTTCCAATGCAACCCAGGTCACTTGGCTATGTGGTCCTGAATCGGATAGGAATCTGATCTTTATAATTGCGACCTGTGTCTGAATGGCCAGGTCGCATTCGTCCGACTTGAACGCCATTAATACCCGACAAAGGTCACTATTCTGCTTCTTGCTATGCAGAAGTGGCAAGAAAAACAACAACCATGGCAGAGGATGATGATGATGCGGAGAGCAGTATTTATTTTTAACGATCATGAAAAGATTGTATTTTTATGGTTGGGAAAGATTGCTAGATGCGCTCCGGCACTGCCATCCATGTTTACTTCCGTAAGCAGAGCACACTCTGGCCTGTGATGTCATTGCGTCCTCTTCTGCGCATGCGGGACACTTGCGTCGTATGACTACAGTTCACACAGATTACAAACAAGTCGCATATATTTGGAAATGTGAAGGGCAACGCAAAAAATCTGAGCAACAAGGTGTGCAGTGTGCCTAAAAGTTGAAGGAGTTTTACCTCTTTATCCTGATAAAACTGTTTCCCCTTTTTCAGATTGAGAGGAAGATGATGTCAGACGCCAGTGAGATGTTGGCAGCAGCCTTGGAGCAGATGGATGGGATCATTGCAGGTAACCTCTCTTAAAGCGAGCTTTTATTCAAGTGGCCATTCTATGGGGTCTACCTCCATCTGGAAATCATTAAATAGGCTGGAAGGCTACTCTTCAGTGTACTGTAACTCTGTGTCCTCCTACTTCTCATACTTCCACTTTAATGCTGAATTTCTGACTATAGACGAGTTTTAACTTAAGCAGAAACTGCCTCAGGAGCAGCAGCCTTTTTCTGACACCACTAGTAAGTGAGATTACATGAAGTTTCCATTGTCCCTGCACCGATGGAAACTAATGATTATTCAAGCTCTCAGACTTTGGAATCTGAGCTTCTGGCTTTTGCTCTGTAAGCTTCCACTGCTGCTGATGAGAGGACCAGCCTACAGATTTACAGTCCCCACTTTTCCGCTGATGTGTGTAATTATAGCGCTGACCTTTCCAATGGGAGTGCGACGGCTGGTCACATGACACCCACTGGTCTCTCCCGTTTCCGCAGAAACCACAGCCATCATCCAGCCTCACTCCCTCGCTGCTGTGATTGTTTGAATATTTATTTACTTATTCAGCTCCTTGGTTGGTGATGTGGGAGATCTTCATGACAGCTGACATTTAAGATGGATGACGGATGGTATGGAGCAGGCAAAGGAGCATGATGGGAACAATGTGTGTGTGTTTTTTTTTTTTACCTCCACCAAGGAGGTGATTTTTGTATTTGTATGTCTGTGGACAGGATAACTAGAAGGTTTATGAATGGATTTTAATGACATTCTTATCAGAGGTGTCCCTCATGCCAAGGAACAAGCCATTACATTTTGGTGATGATTCAGATCATAAAAAAAGATTCTCTAACATCATGAGATGGAGATATTTGGCAGATTAAGCAATTCCCCACTAAACCAGAGGGGGGCAGCGGTGACTATTGACAGCCTAAACATCAGACTCAAAAAGTTCGGAGGGCTTTTACTGAAGACAAAAACACAAGAAAAGGGAAAGTAGTTGGGTTGTTATCAGGTTTAAAGGAAAAATTAAATTAATTTTATGGATTTTTTTTTATCAGAGGTGCTCATGGGTCCCTGAGCAAGACCCTTAACCCCACACTGCTCCCCAGGCGCCGCACAATTGCAGCCCACTGATCCCCAAGGGGATGGGTTAAATGCAAAGAAGTAATTTTCCTCTGGGATTATTAGAGTATATAAAATAAAAAAATCAAATAAAAAAATCAAATCAATTTTGGGCAAAGTGTGTTGCTTGGCAGAGGTCTGGACTCTTCTAGTAAGTCATAAGACTGATGTTTTTCAATCAGAATTAGAAATAATTTAGTTTTAGGATACTTAATTATCTGCTTTCCACTTTGTTTTAACACACCAGCAGGGAACCTGAATAAGTATTTATAGATTTTGAGCTAGGTTTTCCTGCTTAAGTAGATGAAAAAATGTGTGCTTCACAGTTCCTGCAGTACAGGAAGACAATTTTTAATTGGTAAAAATTCATTTTTTATCTCAAACTGTACAAATGCTGTCTTGATATCTAATTGAAATCGTTTGGTTTTTTCGGCATCAGTCTGTTCTAAAAAGCTGCTTTTGGTTGGTATTTAGCAGCAAGTGGGAGTTGCACACAGCATTTCAAGCTGGATTTGTTTAAAGAACCTGACAAGATAAAACTACTGACCCTTCAGACTTGCAGTGTCTTTCATTCATCCACCAGAAACAGTTGTCAGCTCTGTGGAGCATCAGAATTTGCTCTAATTAAAACCAGACTTTCCCAGTCAGAACACATCTGTACAGTCCAGGTGTTCTTCATGACAGACTGGTTTTTGTTTCACAAGTGAAAGTCTGGAGATCCCTCACCACAACTGTGCCTTTTGCTGGATCAGACTAAAGGAATGCAACTACAGCCAATGAAGTATATCAAACTTTCAGGGAAGATAATGTGAATATTTTGAGGGAAACACAACAGTAGTTGGTGCTGATTTGATATCTTCAGAATCAGACAGGTTTTCTTTCTCCTCACTCCCTTATGAAATAAATAAGACAAAATTTACTCTAAAATCGGACTCAAAAAGCATTGTTTCAATGCGATTATTTATTCCAACTTTCCTTGCTGACTGACTGCAACCACTGCAGACTAACGCACTTTCCCCTGACTGGGAATCAGGCGTAAAATCGTGTAGTTTGGCTCCAGCTTTGTACGGCAGTCCGTTATAACAGCTGTTCTAGTTCCTCTCATGTTGAGGATTGGAGTTTTACGTTTGATAAGGAAGACCTAAAAAATAAAACTGAAGTTGAAGAAATGTTAAATTTTATTAGTCGTCAGCCTCCAAAAATCCCACAAACCTGCCTCCAGCTTAAGAACTTACCTGAAAGAAGTGGATCTTTCTAATCCAGCTGCGATGGTGCCAGTTTATCAGCGCATGGGTTTGTTGGAGTCCTAAAACTAATCTTTAGAAACTGACCATCCCATTTCTCAGAATAATAATTCAAGGATTATGGTTTCAAATTTTAGCCATAGAAAATATGTTTTTGCCATCTCAAACCCTGACTTCTCATCTTAAAAAGAATTACTTGCAACTCTGAAAATTGTCTTATGGCATTTAACAGCATTTTTTCAGTTTTATGGAAGGCTTAATAAAGCTTGATAACATTTTTTTGGAATCCCCCCGCTCTGCAAACCTTAAAACTAAGGGTAATATTTTATCTGAGTTAAGAAAATTTTCTAATCCTTTTTAAGACTTTAGCAGTATGATGCCTAAAAAGGGTTCCCGCGGGTCCTTTAAAAGTCTTAAAAGGCATTGAATTCTTCAAAATAAAAGTAAGGCCTTAATTGGTATTAAAATGTCTTAAATCAGTCTTTCATAGGTCTTAATTTTTAAAACATCATGAATAGGATTATTCATGACGTTAAAATTGACATTTAAAAAAATTTAAAAAAGCTCGCCATTATTGGCGGAACCAATAAAGCGTTGTTGCAGCCGGGACATTTGGGAGATGCGCCATTAACTTTTTGTCTGGAAAATATGAGCAAGTGTAAATGTAATGAAAATTGGCTCCAGCCAAGAGTTTTCTCCATGGCTAAAACCAGGGAACATACATGAGGCTCAGTGGATTTTGTGCAAGAAGTCATTCAAGCTCGGAACGATGGGAATTAAGGCAGTGGAGTCGCACATGCGAAGCACGAAACACAAAGCGTCAGAATGGAGTTACCGAGAAACAGCCGGTATTTCTCGGTTTTGTTCCACCCTTGTCTCTGCAACGCCTCCACTTATCACCAAATCAAACATACCAAGAAAACGATACAAAGAAAAATAGCTGCAAAAAAGACTTAGCACTGGTTATGTTGGGGCTTTAAAACTGATTTGTTTTGTTCCCTGCTAAAACAAAGTTTGTGAATTCTGTTAAATAATTGTTAAAATATATCTGTCATTTGTGTGTTTTTAGCTTTCTTCCTGTATGGGAAGTTTTTCAAAATTTGAAACGTTAGTGCAGTTTATGTTAAAATAAACCTTTGGGTTAAGTTGTCGCAAGCAGGTTTTTCTTGTGTTTCTTGTGAATTTGGTCTTAAATTTTTATTTCAAGTGGCATTAAAAAGTCTTAAAAAGTATTGAATTTAACTTTCCTTATGCTGTAGGAACCCTGCTACAAGAGGGAAAAGAAAAACAACCCCCTACGGTTAGACAATAAGTATTATACTTTTCAACACAGTGACCTCATGTGATAACTCAACAAACATTAGCAGATAATAGTCAACTGGAAGGTTAATACTGAGTTAGAATAAGTTCAGTCCAAATATTCAGCCCAATACCCCTTAAAGATTTACTGTAAATAATGTCTAAATACAGTAGTTTTCTAAATGAGCATCATTCAGATGTATTTTCTTTTAATTAATTAGTTCAAAACTCACTGATCAACTCAGATGTTTGAGCTCTCTTTATATACTAAATACGCCAAATGCAAGAATTGATGGTTAAATGTTGATTTAATTGTTTGTGTAATTTAAAATCTACCCTTTCTTCTCCTTGATTTGTATTTATATATGTGATCATTTGAATCAATCCTCCTCAGAAATCTAAGGGAAAGTTTTCAGATCAGAGGCTTAACAGCTGTATCCATGTGCAGTGATTTAATACTTGAAATATCTACTCCTTTTTGAAATGGGAGTAAAATGTTCCCATTTATCTGCTTCTCTCCCACAGATTAGCACTAAATGAGAACTCGTGAATAATCTTTCTGCAAAGTAACAAGGTCCAGTTTAGTGTGATTTGGAACACATTGGATTCTCATTTCACCTTAATTTGAATCAGTTCTTGTAGTTCTTCTAACCAATTTGAAATAAAATCAGCATGACTCTTAAATCTCCCCTCTACTCCTAAAGGCTCCAAGGCCATTGATTACACCAATGGGCTGTTTGACTGCCAGTCGCCAACTTCTCCCCTCCTGGGTGGCTTCAGGGTGCTTCACCTCCTGGAGGACCTCAGAGCTGCGCTGGAGCTGATGGACAACGAGGAACGGGACAACCTGCGCTGTCAGATCCCAGATTCCACTGCAGAGGGACTTGCTGGGTGGCTGCATGGAAGAATGGTAAGAGAAAATATCTGAAGGAGGCCCTTCACCCCGCCCTCCTCAATAGAACTGAAGCTTCTTGAGATGTAATTAAACTGTGTTTAAACTGTTGGAGCCGCTTCGTTCCTGCTGCTTTAATGACTCTAAAATATGAAGTCATTTCAGCAGCTGTCGTCTGAGTCCTGACTGATTCTTATAAGAATTGAGGAAAAGCGATTAGACTTTAATAGCTGAACCATGCCTTTATGTAAGAAAATGGATAGAAAAATATGTCTTCAATTTTTTTTTTTATTCCCCATAACTGTTTAAACCAAGGGCTTTAAACTTGTAAAAGCACTGCTCAAAAACTGGATTAAAGGTATAGTGGAGGAAGTGTTTTTTCCGGATGGATCATCTAAATAAGTGGTCCTCCTAATTGTCAATCATTCTGGTGATATGTTAACGTAAGGCCGTCCTACATGCTCGTCCTTTTTCTTTCTTCACTCGACTATTTTTTGACGTAGTGGAAAAATTGCAAATCTACTTTTACGTAAGCATGTATGGGCGATGCAAACAGCAACTTTTTAACAGAGCTTGTACGAGGAGAAATGGGCTCCAGCATGCTCTCGCTCGTGTTTAATAGGCGTTTCCATTCAGGAGCAGGTACGTGTTTGTGCATGTGCATTTTTTGTTTTTCTTTTTTAAGTGGAGAGGGCGGGTCTTTTAAAAAATTTTGAAAAAATATTTCCACTATACCTTTAATATTTATACTTTTTTAGCGCATGTTCAAAATAATTTTCCTTAGTTTATCCAGATATTTAGAGAATTTTCATTGCTGTTTACCATCAGCTTTAAATGTGTATTTAAATAATTTATTCATTGTTCAAATGGCACACTGGATGGTCGACGATGTCCTAAAATGTGCAGTCAAGGCATCCTCAGACTCCTAGCCAGTATTCAGATTTTCTTCCTGCATATTTTGACTTTATTAGGCTTTTTCTAAATGCTTTAGACTGAAATAAAGGCAGGGAGTACAGTAAAGAGTTATCAGCAGTAAAGCGTCCATCTGATCACAGGGAAACTCCAGGTTCATTCAGAAGATTTCCAAATTTAAAACAGTCTTAGGATTCTGTCATTTATTTTTCTTTCATGTTGACTTGATTGCTTCATTTCAGGTCCTTTGTTGTGGTGCACAATGAAAAGAAAATAGCAAATGGATGCTTTTTTATATAATTATGCCCTAGATGTTTTTATTTTAACCTCCTAACCGCAGAAATGATCAGCTATTGTTTCTCTGTCAGACCAACGTCCACAGCTCTGAGGCAGTCTATCAAGAGCGTCTTTCACGGCTGGAGAGCGACAAAGAATGTCTTATTCTTCAGGTTGGTGAAGAAAAAGCTTCCATTCATTGCTGCAAAACAGAACAATTGTTTCTAATTATGCAATTTGGTGTGATTGTATAAATAGTGTATGTATTTAGCTGTGCCATAAATGTCTGATTTAGGCCATTTTTCCTTTTTCAAACATTGTTTTTTTGCACTCAACAAATATAGACGGGTGTTTAAAAGACAGGAAAATAGATTCATGTTGAAAATTATGTTTTAATGCATTATAAAGAAATTAATATATAAATTTCATTTATTCCATCCAGTTCTGGCCACAATTTTTTCAATGTTAAATCAAGTTGAATTTCTTTTTTTCTTTTTTTTTCTTTTTGATTAAAAAGTTCCTAAGAACATGTTTGTTTTAGGAGCAGTTTTCCTCTCTTTGCAAGGGAAGTTTAGATGGTTCTGTAGATCACACTTTCCTGGTTCTGGGTTCGTGATTTTAGGACTAAGTCAGAAACAAAACTGAGGAATACAAAAAGTATTCCTGTTTTTGTTTTATTTAGGTTATTCACCTCAAAGATTTTTGAACATTTTGATCAGATGTAGGCTGCTTTGACTGTGCAGGTCAGTGTGCTAACAGACCAGGTGGAGGTGCAGGGAGAAAAGATTCGGGATTTGGACAAAAGTTTGGAGCTTCATCGGGAAAAGCTAAATGCTGCTGAGGAGCTACTTCAACAGGTGAGACTATCATGAAGCTACTGGTTTATTTATTCCATCCTGTCATGGTGTTTCAGCACATTTAGCTGATGGTCATCTCTGCCAATGAGGTTATGTTTTTATGGGAGTTTGTCTGTCTGAGTACAAAATAACTTGGAATGTTGATAATTTGGGATAACAGTGACTATTGACAGCTTTAGCTTTGGACTCAACAAGTCCGGAGGTATTATAATAAGAAAAAGAATACAAGAACACAGAAAAACGGAGTCTTGATCTTCAGATCTAAAAAGGGAGCAGATTGCAGAGCAAATGAAGGAAAGCAGAACAGACACCAAAGGCTGCAGACGCAAGTTGTGCTCTATTTATACATTTATGAAAAAGATTTTAAGGAAAACTATACCAAATCTGTGCCTCATTCCAAGGAACAATTCATTAAAATTTTATCCAGATCAAGGGCGTGTTTTAGCTACTGTATAGCTGTAAGTCACAGTACGGGGGGAAGTTTTCTGCTCAACGAAGGTCTGCACTCTTTTCTAGTTGCTTATGTTTCAGAACGGTTTTCCTCTACAAAAAGGATTTATGAGGCATTATTAATTGTGTGATGTAAATAAGTGTTTTTATGTTGAGTTGTAGAGGGCCTGTTTTCATAGCATCTAACAGCAGCAAAGGGCAGCAATCTTACTCAAACAGGCACAAAGCATCCACTCCCAGAACAGCTACAGCTACACAATAGGCCTGAACTTATGATTACATTGGTGCTGCTGAACTGACGAATAAGGTTGATCCTCAGGAGCTGTTAAACCGGACAGCGCTGGAGACCCAGAAGCTGGAATTGATGACCGAGGTGTCGAGCCTGAAGCTGAAGCTGACTGCTTTGGAGAGAGACCACAGGGGCAATGAGGTAGGACCTGCCATGTAGAAAAGGCACTTAGATGCTGTGAAATAGAGCAGATCGAGGGCTCTTTAAAAGCTGCACCTGCACCACGACTCCTGGCAGCTGTCCAGTCATTGTTTATAAAATCAGCCATTCGCTTGGGCACTTGGATCTGTCATGTGGTGTCGGTTGGAGGTGTTTTTTTTTATTTTAGGGGTCCAGTAAGGAGGCCTAAACTCTCTACTAACTCAAGCAGCTGTTTCCTGACACACAACCCCCCCACTCAGATTCCATCTGTCCAGAGAAATCTTTCCATAGTCTCAGTTCTGTTTGGAATATAATATATTTTCCAACTCCAACAGTAAAAAGGAAGCATAGACCTTTTACTCATCTGTGAATTTTTTATTCCACAGTCCTCAAATCCAGTTGTCAATAAAATCTACATAATCTTTAATCACTAATGATCTTTTCAGCACCCGACCGACACACTCAGTTTATTAGAGCTCCCTCTTAGTGTCGTTTTACAGGCAGCTGTTTCTCTGCCATTAATCAGCATCACAGACTAAACACAGAAATGATCCAAAATCAGATGAACCAAAACATTTTTTATCTCCAATATCAGAGTTGCTGCTTTTCAGTTGAAGATTTTAGTTGCATGTATGTTTGGTTTGGAAACGGTGCAGATGATTTACTATTTGTCAATAATCCAAACAGTAATTCTGGAAGGTATTCAAAGCACTGCACTTTTTTCCATATTTAGTTATGCTACGGCCTGATTGGTATTAAATAAAGCTCTTCCCTCTGAATTCTCCACATAGAACCCCAGTATGACAATGAGAAAATATTTCCTGAAATTGCTGAAAGTTTATTGAAACTTTCAGCAATTGAAAGGCAGGAATCAGGCACCTACATCTTTTGCAACAAATATGATTATTTTTCAAAGATCTTTGCAAGGAAATTGTGGCTTTACTCTTAAGTTTCATAAAATATTTTCCTAATGTTCATTTTGAATATTCACTATAGTATTGGGAAGTAGCCTCGTGAGACCATCCTGATCTCGCGAGCTTTCAAGAATCCACTTGCAAATCAGACTGGAGACTCTCCGTTGAAGAAAATTTGGAGCAGTTCACCAAACGAACGTCTAATCAGCGTTGGCTTTGAGGCGGGTTGAGGTGTGACGCAACGAGAAGCGCGACAGTTCAGTCTAAAGAACATGGCGGCTTCAGCCGATTAAACTAGCGTTGGCTTGGCTATCGAGCAAGTTTTATCGGAATTACAGGGTATTTCTTCACTGAACGAAGAGCAAAACACTGCTCTGGAGGCTTTTTTCAGAGGAAAAGATGTTTTTGCTCTTCTCCCGACTGGTTTCGGCAAGAGTTTGATCTATCAATTGGCTCCTCTTTGTCGTCGCTCTGTTACGTCATATGCTTCGTTGATCTGATTAGTTTATTTGGCCCGTCTATCACCAACATAGGCCAATCAGCTAACCAGTATTTTCGCCCCTTCCCAAAATTACTTCAACGGAAGGTTTCCAGATGGATATGCGGAGCAAATCCATCTGGCGGAGTCAGGTTAATTGGGAAGTACCCCACCAACCATTCCTTCTAACAGGTAATGCCGCTGACCCAGTTTCTTTTCAGCTTTGTTAAGCTGCTACACTTTAGGTCTTAATAAATAAATAAACTTATTGAATTAACTGTTAAATATGTTTCTTTTGTTTGCAGAAAAGATTACTTAAAAATTGTTCAAGTCTTTAGCGTTTGTCCCAGGCCCAGCCGAGGCTTTCAGCTGGCTTGGAAGGAGGTTGCACCTTTTTGTATTGGCAGATTATGAAAGGCCATAAGGCAGAAAGTAAACCATCTGACCTGGCTGTATGTTAGTGTTAAAAACAATCAAGGCCTGATTTATTTATTTATTTTTTGCGTGTGTGTGATGTAGTCTCATGTTCTGCATGGTGTCTACCGTTCTTTTGAGTTTTTTATTTTTATTTTATCTCCCCAGGGTTTGTACCAGGAAGTGACAGACCTGAGGTTTAGGATGACGGACATAGAGAATGAAAGACTGCAGTGTGAGAAGAAGCTAAAAGGAGCCAAAGTGAGTGTTTATAACGTCAGTGGAAGAAGGTGCTATAATTGAAATGGACCCTCTTCTGATTTTCCTGACTCATCATTTCCTTCTTGATCACTTGCCTTTGCTCCTGTTTTTCATCCCCTTCTCCCTGTGATTCTTTTTTTTTTTTTTATGCCTTTCTGCAACCTGCTTACCTCTCAAGCATCCAAAGGGGAACTCAAAGCGCTTCACTGGAGATGGGGTGAAGGTTTGATCTCAAGCCTTTTTCTTCTTTCTAACAACTCCTGCTTCTCTCCTGCTGCACACTGCTTTCCTGACTTTCATCACACTTTTTGTAAGTGCCTCAATGACTGCTACAGAAATCTAGTTTATTTAGCTTTTAATTTTAATTCACCATTTTTCTGAACATTGATCTTATAAGTAGTTGTGTGAAATCTGTATTCCTTCAGTGCAGTGACTGTCCATTTATTTAACCAGCGTGGTAGAGTCAATTAGCTTTCACTGAATGCTGCTATTTGCATAAATCAGGTAGTTGAAATTAAAACGCTAACTTATCCACTTTTTAAATCTAATAATTTGTTAATAGTGTCCACTTAACTTGGTAAAATAATTTGTTCATTACATAGGAGGCACAAAGCATGAGAGGTCTTGGTGTAGATTCAATTCAATTTTAATTCAGTTTATTTATATAGCGTCAATCAGAGATGGGAAGTAACGAAGTACAAATACTTTGTTACTGTACTCAAGTAGATTTTTCTGATATTTTTACTTTACTACTTATTTTTATGGCAACTTTTTACTTCTACTCCTTACATTTTTACAGAAATATCTGTACTTTCTACTCCTTACATTTTTACAGAAATATCTGTACTTTCTACTCCTTACATTTTAAAAAATTGGCTCGTTACTTTAGTTTTGAATCATTTCAATGGAGTTACCATTCACTGATTCTTGAGAGTCAGGACAAAACACGTTTTAAAAAAATATTTTTAAAAATACACACTATATCAATTAGAGTGATATTTTTCTGCAGAGAAAGGTCTTAGTTATTTAACTATGTTAAGGAACAGGTTCTACATAAAAACACATTTTTAACAAATAAACATGTTTCCCTTCAGAGCTGGATTTGTGTCAACTCCGTCAGAGACACTAAAAAGTATACAATTTTTATTCTTCCAATCATACAAGAATCTAAAGTTCTGAAGTATACTGTAATAATGTTTAAGTACTATATGTAAAAAAAAAACATAATGTATAAACTTAAGTTGTGATTTCACACTATTTTGAAAACTCAGATTTCTAAATATTAGCATTTTCAAACTTTGATTTTAATTTCAATGTTGTAAAAACAAGTTCCTTGAATAAATAAAACATAAGAGGATGTAGATCAGATGGTCCTTTATTACAAAAACAACATAAACTGAAGGAAGAATATTTTTTCTCCCCAAAAATTTACAAAAACATACAGCCAACGCTGTTGACGAAGATCTGACGGTGTTGACGAAAAAGTGACGGTGTTGACAAAAAATGCGTGCATTGCTGATTGAATGAACAGATTTGCTCTTTGACCACTACTACTAAAACTACCCCTTGTTAATAGAGAATTTAACTTACTGTAAAGCAAACTATAATAAACATATTGCACATACAACGTTTCTAACTATTATAAATTACACCGTTTCCAACCATCAAAAAAAAAAAGGAAAACAAGGGGCCCTCCTTCCCCTCTATTTTCATCTGCCTCCCCTATACCACTTTCTTCTCTTCATCTTCTCATCCACCTGTTCTTCTCTTCCTTTCCTCCTTTGTAAGTAGCCATTTACTTTGAAGTGGTGTGTGTGTGTGTTGTGTGTGTGTGTGTTTGTACTGCCTACTTTATACTTGGTGTGATCTTAAATTGACATCGTTTGACAAAAATACTGCAACACAATATCTGTATCTTAGAATTAGGTTCAAGTAGGTTACTTAAGCTTTCATTTTTGTCTAATCTGCACTTCTGCCTTGAGCAGCAGGCGTCGGACATGCTCCCTCTCTATAAAGTCCGTCACATCAGGGGCTATGCTGTAGATCTCTCGTTTTCTTAATTTGACTGGTGATGCATTTCCCATTAGTTTCACTATGATGTCTTCAACTGGGCAGAAACAGACATCCTTTGTGAGAAGCTTAGGCTGATACTTTGCTGTTGGACCATGGGGATGCAGAAACTCCACTTTCACATCTTGATGCTCAGTATCCACAGCAATGGTCTTGGCTAGCCACCAGTGGTCATCATATATTACTGCTAGCCAGTCTCTATTATTAAGGCTGCTAATAGTTGTTACTGTCACAGTACCCTCAGGACCTTTCAGAGGCTCCTCATCCAACCCCTCGTCCATTACATCTTCCATTTCCATATCCTCTCCCCCTGCTCCCATCTCTTTTTCCATCTCCTCCAACAACAGGGCCAAAGGCATTTTCTTCCCTGCCCTCTTTGTATGACTCTGCTGTTCCTCTGGGTAGCCATGAAAATAGAAGGTAGCTGGACTGAAGCACTGGCAAACCAACATCTTGCTGCAAAAGCAGGATCATTTTCTGTGCTGGATCCTGTTCTCATGTGGGATGACCTGGTGTATTCGTCTTGTTGAGGGAACCTGTTTTAGAGGATGCATGAGAAGTGTATCATATCTTTGCATGTCTTCTTCTGCAATGTGATACAGCTGAATGCTCTTCAGACTGTTTGAGACCTTTTCAAAGAATGTGTGTCCATCTGTCACATCATTTCCTCTCAAGACCAGGTTGTCAGCTGTTCTTTTTACTCTTCCGCCAATGCCGTCTGGTGCGCCCTTACCATGGGAAGTGGGGAAGAAGTTCCATGTTGCTCTTTCAAACCCAAGTGTAGGGGGGATACAAGACAGAAGGAAACAATTCTTCTTGTTCTTATACTGTTTACTTGGACCATCGGACCAAAAGTGCACGGTGGTGACCTGTGGATATCTCGTTTTGATATCTTTTAGGACTGGATCCATGTGTGTCCAGATTGAACATGGATTTTGTCTTGCTCTTGAGTTGTAACTGTTCCTTTGTTTAGACATCGTGAACATGTGCGAAGAAGGCAGGCCTCACTTGCTGGAGAGCAACAAACTAACTGAAAACTGTCATCTAGTTTGTTTGACTTCACAACTCCAAACGTTCTAAGGACCTCAAGCATTAAGTATGCATTTTCATGCTTTTGACATAGACATGTCTTACGATCAGATGCTTTTGGTGCTGTAATATAGAATGGTTTCAGAGCACAGAAAGAAGAATAGCTCAGCTTCACAGTGGGGTTCCTAATGAGGAAATCAGAGTGGAAGTTGATCATGGAGTCTGCCAGGATCATTCTCTGCTGCTTTATCTTATTCCTAGTGATGGTGTCAGTCTTATCAGTTGTAACACGTGCATAGTTCAGGAAGAAATCCTTTACAGTCTCGGTTATTCCCATTAGGAATGTTGGCTTTTTCTTTGCCCGTTTCTTTCCTCTCATTAACTTGTAGGTTATCCCAAACTGGTGGATTTGATGAAGGAGACGATACTTTTTGAGAATTTTGCCCGATGACACACTTAGTGCTGGTTCCCGAAGCCGTGGCCCAGGAGTTTGTTTGTTTTTCTTCAGCTCTCTTCTGAGGATGTTGTGGAATAGAAGGGCTTTCTTAATTTTTGGATTCCTTATGTTGCTTCCTGATAGCATCTTCTTTGTTTCTGTGCCTGGGGAGTCAAGTATTGTTTTATTTGTAGCGCTTCTAATTCGATATATTTTCTTTCTCATTCTGTTTCTTTGCTTTGTTACCTTCTTAAGCTTCTCTTTCAAAGTTTTTATTTCTCTCTAATGCCTTTTTCTTGTTTTATTTCTCTCCCTTTTCTGTCTGAGTGACTGTCTGCTGTGTCTGGCGTTGTATTCTTGAATATCCTGATGTTGCGGACTATCTGGTGGGGTGTGTGCCTTCAGCACTGCATCTTCATTGTATCTTTTCTCTCTGGACCTTTTCTGTGCCTCTCTCCAATACTTCCTACAATTCCTCTTTGCCCTGTCTCCCATATCGTCTATTTGTATTACTTTTCTGTCTTTAACTCTCTTCTTCCACCTTTGTCTTTCCTTCTCTTGCATAGCATGCTTGCTCTCTTGGTCATTGTTTAATTTTTCTCTTCTCTTTCGTTGGTACTCTCTATTTCTTCTTCTTTTCTCCTCAACTGACAATTTCTGTCTAGCCATTTTTTCCTACAATACAAATTGAAATAAAGAAAAATTTACTTGAATAAAACTATAGAATCAGATTTTTATTTACATGATATGATGATTGACTGATGGATGAATGGATAGATCTAAAATCCACTGGGTGCAGTATGTAGTTTTCATAACCAGATGTTGTGATAATCTACACATTGGCCTCTCATTTCCCTTTCTCTGTCTCTACATATATAAATATATATACACATATGAAAGTGCTGGCAAAGTTACACGTAACACAATAATAAGCAGACAACTGCCTGCCCATTCTCTACAAGTCAGATGCATATGGTTAAATAATGTAATGCATGCTATGAATGTGCGTTTATGTGTAAATAAAACCTTGAAATATCAGTTTAACCTTTCACTATATTCACAAATATTATATTTGCACATTAAGAGGTCATTGGTGGTTTTGTCAACTCCGTCAGCTTACAGGTCAACTCCGTCAGACATAGAACCTGACAGAGTTGACGTCTGACGGAGTTGACGTAAGGGCATGTATTTTCCCTCCAAAACATGTATTGTACACTGCAGCTAGATACTTTTTCCTCATTTGCTAGCTGTTTCAATAACCTCACTAAAATGCTTAAATTCAATCCACTATGGTTTAAAAAAAAGTATCTCAACTGAAAGACAGTATTGACAATGTGCAGCTGTGACCATAGGAATATTGACATTCTTTGTCTCAAATATTAAAAAAATTAAAACATACCAGATCATGTGTGGTAGTGTTGCATTCACCACAGACAGGGAGATAAAGAGGGGTCCTCAGAGATATAGCTGACCTTGCTATTGCCTGATTTAAAGAGCTTTATGAAAAAATCTGACGGAGTTGACAGAAACTGAGGACACAACTTTAATAGGCAGATTTTTATGGAAAATACAGTTTAATGTTGACTTCATGTATTGTTTTTTATATTTATACCCCTTATTTTTTATTTGATATTTCTGTTTTCACAATTTTAGAGCATTTTTAAGTTTTTTGGGATGGTTAATATTGTGACCTATTGCTGAGGACAAGTAAAATAACATGGACATCCTAACCAAAGAAAACATATTTAAACAAATTTTCCCCAAAAAGATAAAAAAGTTTATTCTAAAAATCCGATAGGTATATAAAATTCTTTAGATTTAACTTTGTAAGTATGTAAATCATGATGAATTTATTTATTTTTTTGCTATAAATTAGAATTTTTTATGTGGGACATGTTTTGTCCCGACTCTCAAGAATCAGTTATTATTTTTCACGTCATCAATACCAAATTCAATCTAATTGGATGGGAATCTACGTTTCATTTGACGCACCACTACAAGATGAATCGACAGATTCGGCGGTATTCATTCGCGGCAAATCATTGCAGCTTGGTGGCGGTGGCGTTAGCATAGTAGCATGGACGACGAGATGATTGAAAATGAACACAACGGAGATCTAGTCCTATTGGCAGACATCCATTTAAAATGTAGGCAACGGCATGAAAAAAGTGGTTTCTACTTTTACTTTTATACTTTAAGTAAATTTACAAGCCTGTACTTTGTTACTTTTACTTGAGTAAAGAAGTTTAATCAGTACTTCCACTTTTACCAGAGTATTTTTTAACACAAGTATCTGTACTTTTACTCAAGTACAGAAAGTGAGTACTTTTGCCATCTCTGGCGTCAATTCACAACACATGTCATCTCAAGGCTCTTTACAGTTCAACAGATCATCCAGTCAAATTGATTCGAAGTTTTCTATCTAAGGAAAACGAGTTGATTGCATCGACTCATTGGCTCGAATGAAATTCCTTTACATTAAGCATGCTAAGATGAAGATGAAACCTATGGTGTTGCTGCTTTGTTTCGGTTTCTCAATCATAAAAAAATTGAGGATTTTAGCTAAAGACAAACCTAGCCGAACATTATGCAAGGTAGAACTGCAGGTTTTAAATATTTTGCTTCTTTTATTATTCCAATAAAATATAGCAGGTGTTCCCAGTTTGTCTTTCTTCAAATCTTTTAGACTACGTTCACACTGCAGGCCTTGATGCTCAATTTTTTTTAATTAAAAATCAATCATTTAATATATGCGACTTGTATGTGATCCCCTGTGGGAACTGCATTCATACAACTTAAGTGTCCCGCATGCGCAGTAGAAGATGCAATGACGTCACAAGCAAGCATGCTCTGTGTTTACAGAAGTAAACATGGAGGGTAGTGCTGGAGAACATTTTTCTCAGCCTTAAAAACTCAATCTTTCCAAGAGTGTTAAACATAAATACTACTCTCTGCATTATCGTCCACCATTGCTGTTTTCTTGCCACTTCTGCGTAGCAAGGAGCAGAAGAGTGACCACTGTCGGGTATTAATGACATTCAGGTCGGATGGATGCATTTGAAAAGATCAGATTCGTAGCGGATTCAGGACCACGTAGCCAAGCGGCCTGGTTCGCAATGGAAGAAATCAGATCTGTGTTGTTCAGACAGTCATGAAAAGATCAGATCCAGGTCTCATATGGGTAAAAAAAAAATCTGATTTGGGTCACTGCAGGCTGTGGTGTGAACGAGCCTTACTTAAAATATAGTGAGACTGGAGTCTCTCCTCTATCCAGCACAAACTGTGCATATCGAACGGCCGTTTGTGCTTCATGCACAACATCAGGGTTTCTCTGAGAGGTACATGTCATGGAATGAAAAGCTGCAACCTAAACAACACGGAATCACATTCAGCTGGATCAGGAGCTTCATCTGTTGAACGTTGGAATGCTGCGTTCCCACCAAACAAGATTTCAGCGATCAGAGCGATCCATCTCCATATTACCCGTAGGTAAAGGCACATCCAGGGATGCACTTTTAGCTATTTGTGTAAATTAATCAGGGACTCAGTGGGCGGGTGCACAGTGGAGGCGAAGCTTTTTTGTTTTTTTGGAAGAAAGAAAAAATAATGTTGACACAGAGTGAAGTTAATAAAATGAAGAAAATGTAGCACCTGAAAGGACTATTAAAATCATTTATCATCTTAGTTCCAGAGCGCGCCCCAGCCGGGTGCCGCCTCTCCCCCACTCTAGGTCACTCTGTCCGGATTCCTGCTGCCCCTGGCTGAGCTCCAGCGCGCAGCCGCGCCTTAAATCTGTTGTTTTGGGACCTCATCTCCAAAGGATCTGGTTGAACGCAACAACACCAAAGTCCCTGTTCAGCTTTCCATAATGGATAAAACTACTGTGACTCACTCGGCTAAATCCATGTTCGCCATTCTGGGTTACAACCAGCAGGCAGCAGATATAGAAGAAGCTTCTTCTTTTTGGTGACGCTGTAAAGCAGGAGGAGAGGAGCTTTTCGCTCTCGATGCAAATTTCTGTCTAAGTTAAGCAAGCGACGGAAACCCACTTTGAAATCATTTGGTGTGAACTATAACAGAGGTTTTTGTAAATCTGGAGCATTCGGAAAAAGTATGAAACAAAAAGCTGGAAAGAACTGAAATAGAAATGTTACTGGGGAATATTTTGTTTTTTTTTGTGTGCAGAAATTCAGACACAAGTAAACTAGTTGTTCTTATGTTCGTTTGTTTTTTCTTATATTTTCCTGTTGCTGTGGTTTGAGTATTTTGATGGCTCTTCTCTGCAGGAGGAGCTGCATGATCTGCAGAGGCATCTGGAGGAGCAGGACGAGGAACTAAGAAGGTTGAAGGGGGAGGCCCACAACAGAATTACTGGGGGAGAGAGAGGTGCGAGTTGTTTTCATAACAGGATGAATTCCTCTTTCCGCTTTTCTCATTTCATGCACTTTAACTTTTAATTTTCTGGGATGGAAGGATTATTTAAGAAAATGTTGACATTCCTACGTTATTCAGCTCCCCTGGAGTTTTCTCTTTATTAATTAGTTTCCATCTTGCATTTAAATTCATATTTATGTTGTTGTTAATCGGCCCTTATCTCCCTGTCTGGAGAATCGACCTCGAACACATCAGACTGTCTTACTCCTTCCACCCACAGCTGACCTTATCTTATCCCTGCAGCTGGCAGAGGAATGCAGGGTTCTAAAGGAGGCGGCATCAAACTCAGTGGGTCCCTTTAGGTTTTTGTCTGGTTTCTGTCTGACTGTACTGCTTTGGGAAAGATTTCTTAAGACGAATTTGAACAACAAAATGATGTTGCTCTTCCCTGAAGTCAGCAGGCGTCTTTGTTTACATGTCGAGACGACATGAAGCAGGATTGAATCCTGAAGGACTCGAGCTCATTAGCTCAGTTAAATTCACAGGTTCTACAGGGATTATTTTAGCCTGACGTAGTCCGACTCAATTCTAGTCAGAATATGAGTCTGATACTGATCCATAGAGCTGTGATTATGGGGCGTGTTTCGAACGAACCAGGAAAAATAATGCCTCTGCACTCAATTGGATAGACCTACAACCAATAAGAGCAACGGAGTGCGTGACGTATGTTAAGCGAGGCATAGTTGTTGTCCACAAAAATCAAAGCGTGCAGTTTCACGCCTAGAATAAGAAGATGAGCCTTGATCGCGTTTCTCTGTTCCTCTTTTAAAATTAATTTGCTGTCGATATCTTCTAGAACAGACCTAATAGCAGAATCTACTCACCCAAACTCTCCAGCGGCAGCCATTATTGTTGTCACCCTAGCGCGCTTTGGTCACGTGGTTGATTACGTTACTCTTGATCATCTGTCCATAATCGTATAAAGTCCGCCCTGACAATTTGATTGGATCGCCTGACAGTGGGCTTTAATACTCGCGCTACTATGGAGCAGAGCCAGACCGAACTTCCCCGAACTCAAACCTTGTGGGCGGGACTAAGTTCTGACTGGCACCCAGGCTAGGATTATTTGTTCAAACAAGAAAATGTTGAAATGAGAGCAGAGGTGTTTTCAGTACACTCAATCCATCCATCCTTTTGTTTGTTTTTGTTTATCCCTCCATCAGTTCAAATCTCTTACTCTCCATTTATACATGCATCTGTCAATTGATCAATCGGTCTATCCATATATGTGTATGTAAATTAATGGTTAACATTTAGATTTATAATTTAAAAACTTTAACAAAATGCTTTAGTTAAAAAAAATGACTACAAAACCAGTCTCCTTTCAGAGCTACAATGAATTCAGGATAAACTTACACAACTGTAACACCTTGTTTTTTTTTAATCTTTCCAGATACAGAGGTGGTGAAGATGAAGAGGGTGTTGGAGCTGCTGACATCGGAGAATGATGAGAAGGTACAGAGTGGCATGTCGGCGGTTACTCCGCCCGCCAGGATGCATCATCACTTCAGCTTTTGTGTTTATTTGCAGGAGAGGAGGATTAAAGAGCTCGAGGAGTCGCTGACGAAGTGCAGGAGAGTGCAGGAGTTGGTCAGAGGTGAGAGGGTTGTTCACAAAGCAGATTTTACTCATCAAGTAGTAACATTCCCAAATATGATCAAATTTATCATTAAAAGCATTTACTGTAGAGCTTTTTTCAGTAAGTAGTAAAGATTTAAAGCCTTCATTGGATGGATGACCTCTGAAAAGAGATTAAAAGCATATTTGTCATTCAGTGCATGACTGTGTGAACTGCTTTCCTCACAGAGAAGCTAAAGGAAGATGACTACGCCGATATCACAGATGATCCCTCGCTTTCCGTGTCCATGGAGGTGGATCAGGTCACCCTGGAGTTGGAGGGGGAGACGGGAAGGAGCTGCGATGAGGTAAACACAACCTCTGTCCAAACAGCTCTGACACAGGATGAACCCCCGACTGGAGACTTCCTGTAGAAAAACTCCAGCTTCGGTCTCCCACCCTGAAATGATCCCCCAGTTCACAGCTTCTGCTCTGGCTTTTTTTTTGTTAATGTTTCTTGTCTGAGCGACATACTAAAGACATTTTTTTTTTTCTCTGTTTTCTCAGTCCATACCTTGTATAGCCGTCCTTTCTGAAATGAATGAGCTGGACAGAGAACGACAGCTACAAGCAGCAGAAAGGTAAATTGTAGACTTTATTATTATAACTAATTCAGCATCTTTCAATGTTATTTGCTTTGGGGGACTTTTAATTTTTTTGTGTGTGTGTGTTTTGGGACAAGTTGAATTCAGTGCTCAAGCCTTACACTTCATAAAACGGTCAGCAGGGGGCGACTCCTGGCTGTTGAAACTTCGAAAATTGTCTTCTTACTGCTGTGGTTTCATAAACTTAGACCTGCAATGCTTTTGTGTAATGTTCATTATAGAATGATTGCTTTAGTGCAAAATGGAAAAAAAATAGAGATGTGTCAAATGTGGATAATCAATAGTGTACAAAAATGTTCTTGGCACTAAAATTGTACTTTGCAAAAATAGTTTGTGGTGGGAGGAAAAAAAATACACATTAGCCTGAACAGACCATTCAACGTGATAATACATGGTTCATGACAGAACTCTTCTGTTAGGTTGTTTTTCCTTAGCAGGGAGGGAGAAGTTGGTCAAAGTTGACAGAAATAGATGAAGCTTCCAGGCACTGCAAAGACCAGAGTGGAGGAAATGATACACTCAAAGTTGTTTAGATCAAATGATACTTGGATTAGGATGATAATGGCTAAATCTAATGAAGCATCTGTGTTGAAGCTTTAACAGGTTAGACATTTTCCATGCAGCATTCAGCTATTTGGCACAAATATTGGGCAAAATATCTGTGTTTAGATATGCAAAGCTGGTGGAGACTAGTGCTGGTAGATTAGTTGATTTTTCTGTTTATGAAGATAAACCCCAGCCCACCCCCTAAGCTATCTTCTTCCATAGCTTAGGGTGACATCAGTTCATCACTTCTTGTTCTTAGATGTGTATTTAAAACTGATAAACTAGCTGAACGTAGAACATCAGCTGCAACATTTAGTTTTTTTTAACGAGCATATTTAAAAGCTTGAAATTAAGCTTTTATTATTGAAATAAAAGCTAGTTTTAAATTTTTAGTTTGGTAATTTTTTTAGGATAAAACTTAAGTTTAATGGGAATGGATTAAATCTGTGTGCCTGATGTTTTTTTTGTAAATAACTTAAGACTAGCGTTCAAGCCTTCTTTTTTATTTAAGTTAATTTATAACAAAACATACTCATATAATACATTTTAGTTTGTCTGAAATGAGAAAGTGTAAAAAGGTTCAGCAGGTTTGTAATCCTGCACATTTTTGAACTCCACCGAAACATTTTTTTTTTTTTTGGTAATGTATTTTTCTAATTCCCCCCAAAAAATAGTTTGACTTAAATCAATGGATTTTTTTTTACATTAACTCAAATCCCAGAACCTGCTGCTGTTTAGGAGGGGGAAAAATTATTTCACTCTTTATGTTGGGCTTAAAGTGGTTTTATTGTTTATTTGTAATATTTTACTAATAAGAGAATCTTTGCCACTGCTTTTTTCCTCTCCACCTGAACCATAAAGATCCTAAACCAGACATTGATTTTATCTGGTCTTTGATTTCTAGAAAAAAAAAAAAACATTAAAGGTGTGTCCATGTTAAAGAAACCTGTTTTTATTAGTGGTCTTGTAATATAATTTTTTTGCTCATCTAGAGGATAGCATTACAGACAACAGAGGCCTGATTATCTAAGAACATATTTTATTCATCTGGATACAACAATTTAAGTTTTATTGAGTCATAAGGTTGTTTGCTTCTGCTGACATTGTTTTTTTTTTCAGGTTTTCTTAACTGACATTTGACGTGCTTAATTTTCTATCTAACTGAAGTTTCTGATTGTTTCAGCTCCGTAGATGATCCACAAAGCGACGGTTCGGCTGTAACCAGCAGCACTGAGCAGGTAGCATCCAGTCCTTTCATTTATTTATACACAATTTTTCAAGCTCTGCTCTTGTCTGTAATGCAAGTAGTTCTGTTGACATCTAGTGGTCAAATATGGCACAGCACACTGTTCTTTGCTGCAGATTTTTATCAGTTTGTTTTTATTTGTTCAGGTTAAAAGAGAAGCAGGATCCAGTTCTTCTTCCAAGGGAAAAACTAACGTTGGGAGTTTTGGCAGCAAGAGGGTCCGTGCCTCATTTGGCCGCGGCTTTTTTAAGCTACGTGGAGGCAAACAGACGGCCGGCTCATCAGACCTTGGTGAGCATAACTTAATCTAACACTTACCTGCAGGTTTCTATCCATGTTTGTGATTAAAGACTGTACCTGGAGTGGAATGATCCTGGTATACTGTAGGGAGGCAGCTAGAAATGAAAAAGACTGACTAATAATACAGGGTTCTGCAAAGGGAACACTTTTTATTTTTGGCATCTTCCTTAATTAACCCAATTCTTTTCTATTCATTCATTTCTATTTAATATGAAAAGGATCAGTGAGACAGGGAAAAAATAGCATCAGATGCAACCGGTAACCATTTTTAAACCGATTTCTGCAAATCTCTGTTACCAGCCGAGGCAGAACGTAAAGGCACCGAGCACCTCGACCTCGCAGGTGTTCCTCCCCAAAAATCCCACCGCGCCGCTCCTCTCCCATCATCTCCTGAAGCCAAGAAGAAGTCGAGCGGGTTGAGGAAATTCTTTGGCAGGTAAAGCATTGTGAGTAGTGTAATGTGAATGCACTGAAATCGGTTCTGTAGATTAAAATGGTCGTCTCTTGCAGACTAAAGAGGAGCCACTCCACCTCATTCAACCCGGATGATGGAGCTGAGACGGAGTTCAGGAGGGGCGGAGTCAGAGCCACGGCTGGTCCTCGGCTCGGCTGGTCACGAGACTCAAAGCACAAGTAGGTGTTCAGTGGAGGCAACATGTGCAAACCTAACGTATACAAGGCAGCAACTAATGCCGTCTGTAGTCTGGTCCATCCTGCTTTCCGTACTGTTCCGTTTTTTTTCAATGCTACAGATGATGTTCTGCACATTTAACTTATCTTAGCTTAGATTTTTAAACCCTATATTTGTAACAGTAAAATAGCATAGAGACTTATGAAACAAGAATCTTAACATTTTATTTATTTTCTGGTTTTATGAAAAATCTGAAGTACCCCAAACTTAACTGGATTAGAGATTCTTTCAAACACTGCTTATCAGAGCCTTCACCACCTTAGATCTGTTTAAATATGGAAGCTACATAACATTGATTAACAGAATAAACACAGACTTTGTTTTACAAACCACTATCTCTCTTCAAACGATACATGTTTGGAGTAGAAAAAAACAGTTTAGACAATTTCAAGTATTTTGAAAGTAGAGCTAAACGGATGGTTTAGAGTCCTTAAAAGGAGTAAAATAACCCCTTAATACAGATGGCGACTTCAACATCGAGGAAAAATTAAGAAACAACGTAGACATAGATGCAATTGCATTAAAAAGTATATTAACCTGATATATTACTTGACAGTATTTCTTTAAACCTTAAGCTTTCCTGTGAACCACTAAGTTAATATTTTGCTAAGCTATTTAGTGAAAATGCAAAAATCTCCCGTTAATCAAACCATGGCTCCTGTTTCAGAAAGACCCCAGACAACTGTCACCCTGTTTTTAATGGGAGGGGGGAAAAAAATTGAGATTAAATTATGTTCTGCCTCTTACTAGTAATTGAAGTTAAGGTTTCTGCTGATAGTGGATCTGTTTTTCCTGATTAAAGGAATTCTGCTCGTATTTTCAGAGCTGTGGACACTCCTTTCTCTCGGTGGAGTAAAGAGGACGTTTTTGCCTGGCTACAGGAGCAGGGCCTCGGCTTGTATGCAGCTCAGGGACAGAACTGGGTCAAATCGGGACAAACTTTACTGCAGGCGTCACAACATGATTTGGAAAAGGTTGGTTGTTGTTTTTTTTTCCCCTGATGTGAAAAATGACATCCTCACTTGATTTAATCTGGAAATCTTTATTCATCCTCAAATGGTTCGAGAAAAGATTAAATTTAGCAAAACATCTTTGAAGAATGTAATATTTACTGTGAATCCTCAGGAGCTGGGAATGAAGCTGCCTCTCCACAGGAAGAAGCTGCAGCTCGCCCTGCAGGCGCTCTCCTCAGAGGGAGATGACCTTCAGGGCAAACTGGACCACAACTGGGTCACCAGTGAGTGATGGTGTTTCACGGTAGACCTGCTGAATCCTGCAAAGGTTTGAGCTTCAGTGCCGTTCATCTTTTATTTTTTTTCAGGGTGGCTGGATGACATCGGCCTCCCGCAGTACAAGAGTAACTTCGATGAGGCTCGAGTTGATGGACGCATGTTGCACTACATGACAGTGGTGAGTCTGTGTAGGAAAAAAACCTTTGATTCTTCATCCCATCATCTTTTATGATTCTGGAAAGAACTAGAACTGATTTAGATGAGTCCAAACTGATCTCTGAAGGGTATTTCTCCTCCTCTGCAGGAAGATCTGCTGTCTCTGAAGGTGGGGAGCGTCCTTCATCACCTCAGCATCAAGAGGGCCATCCAGGTCCTGCGTCTGAACTCCTATGACGCAAACTGTCTGAGACGTCGCCCCTCTGATGAGGTAAACACCTCCCACCTTTCTGCTCCCATTCATATATGAAACCTTTTTAACTTGTTTGAGTTTGAACAGAACAACATCACACCGGCTGAGATCTCCCAGTGGACCAACCACAGAGTGATGGAGTGGCTCCGCTCCGTCGATCTGGCCGAGTACGCTCCCAACCTTAGGGGGAGCGGAGTTCATGGAGGACTAATGGTGACGACCTGACGCGATTAAATGTCCCTCCAGAGGTGATTTGACTCTAACCTCCGTACATTTGTGTATTTTGAAGGTGTTGGAGCCCCGATTCAATGTGGAAGCGCTCGCCCTCCTGCTCAACATTCCTCCCAGCAAGACCCTGTTGAGACGCCACCTGGCTACACACTTCCACCTGCTAGTCGGCTCTGAAGCTCAAAGGCTCAAACAGGAGTGTCTGGAAAACCCGGATTACACGGTCCTCACAGCTACAGCTAAAGTTAAGGTACCTAATCACCCTGAACAACTGTGATTACTGCAGGTTAGCTTACAGGGGCAGCTTTGTTCTTTTACTCAATGCTAATGTTAGACAGATTTTGCTTGAGAATAAAACAACTCTCCAACCAGCAGCCTACCATTTAAACGATCGGCTCTTGTTTGTTCCAGCCAAGACGTTCATCTTTTGGTGGTTTCGGCTCCCTGAGGAGGAGACGTCAGGACGACGGGGAGGACTACGTCTGTCCAATGAATGTGGAGATGCCAAAGAGCAGCAGCTTCCAGAGGAACGTCTACGTCTATGAGGAAACCTTCGACCCCATGGAGCAGGTACTGAGGTGTTTCTACTTCTGAGTCTTCCTAGATGGATTTATAAACATCTGAGCTTCATCTTTTTCTTTACAAGATGGAAGATTCCGAGGGAACCGTCAGGCAGATTGGAGCGTTCTCAGAAGGAATCAACAATCTGACGGTAGGAGGCCAAGCTGTTCCCATGTGATTATCCTGTCCATAATTCCTACATTTGATGGCAATGTTTCTGTGTTCCAGAGCATGCTAAAGGAAGATGAGCTCTTCCAGGTGATCTCAGTTTGCCCCACAGAGGATAAAACAGAAGTGTAAAACTCCTCCACCTGAGTATCAGCCTGCAGGTTATATCTGACCAAAGTATTTAGTCTCTATTCTGTATTTATTGAGGTTACTCATAGCATGCATGAATTAAAATATCCAGTTTTTGTGATTTACAAAACTGACTCACGTTAGATGAAGGAGCTCTCTTGGCGTCTTTAACCTGTTTGGTAATGAACAGGGTTGTTGCACCATCTTAAGCAGACCTGACAGTTTAAAGGCAACAAGAGAGATCTTCATACAGACTAACAGCTATCAAGAAAGCCTTGTAACCAAAGATGTTTTTAGAAGCAGAATCTTTGTTGTGCGTTTGAATTGTTTTCGTAATAAAAGTTTAAATCCAAGTTTCTTAATCACTTTTTACATGACAACCACAGACATCACTTCAGTGTCAACAGATTTTTATGCAATACAAGCTGCTGCAGCCAGATGTACAGTTTATACTTCAGGTAACAATTAACAAAGCTGACATTAAGCAGCAATGACTAATGAGTTCTGCAGGTTTTTAAGGCACTTGATGAACAGCCATCGACCTTAACTTTCCTAAACACATACATCTCTATTCACAAAGTAAACTCCCATGGTTTGGTCCTAGCTGTAATTGCTTTGCATGGATAATAAGCCATAAATATGGTTGAAACTGTGCAAAAATAATAGCTAGAGGCCCTTAAATATCCAAACCTCTCTTCCTCCAAGCGGGCGGACGGACGTCTAGAAGGCGAACCTGCGGCTTTGTGAGAAGCCCACTTTGTCCAGGTTGGGGTTGCAGGCGAACTGGATCATTGGTGGAGGGCCACACATCAGGATGAGCGTGTCGTCACCAGGAGGTGGGAGATGTTCCCTCACCATGTCTTCATTGATGAAGCCCTGACTGTACTCCCAGTCTGGAAACAGAAAAGTCAAAATGAGATGCTTTGTTTGGCATCACCTGCTGGTGAAAAAGAGGAACTACAGCCACAACAATCAATATTTAAATTTTATTCTGAAAAATCTAAACATTTCTAGTTTTTTTTTCTTATCAAATTGAAACTATACTGGCTTTTAAAGGTCAAGATCTAAAACTTGATGTTAAAATTCTATATGCTTCTCCCCAAAAAAGTCCTTATTAGTATAACTGAAGTTTTGGGAATAATTTGGTGCAACTTTAAAATATTTCTTGAAAAATGCAGAAACAACTTTTGTTACTTCCTGTGCAGTTAGCTAAATATATCAATTTCTATAATCTATTGGGGCAAAGCTACATGGCTACATTGAGAACATTTGGTGAAATTTATTTTTTTTTCTCCCCAGAATGCATGTCACCTAAATAACTGAATTTTAGTAGAATTAAGGGGAAATTAAACAGTTAACCGGGGGAAGTTTCTTGTTTCAGGTAATGGACTCTTTTCAGATTCAATAAACAAACATTTTAAATGGTTCTCATTTTTTTCAAAACACGGCTTGCCAATATTTAACATGGATTTAAAAGCAGCAACTTTTATCTATCACTACTATAAGAAAGGAGAAGGCTGCAGAATTGAGGGGAGGAAAAAATGTCCCAGGACTTACCCTCAGGCGCTTTGTCTACTGTGTACCACAGCTTGAATCGGTCTGGATGGTTGGCTTGAACCTCCTCCAGTTCGTCTCTCAGCAGGATGTCCTTCTCAGTCTGTGGACACAGTAGTGTGTTTTTACACATCTGATAGCATCTCTCTGGATGGACAGACATCTAGTGATTCAGGTTTATGAACCTCACCTGGTTGGCAAACAGCAGGTGACACACTGTTTTGTCCTGAGGATCCTTTGTGACGGCAGTGATCAGCTGCAGCATGGGGGTGATCCCTGAAGAAAACACAGGCTGGTATAATCACTATCATTTGGGCTGTTTTTATACTGAAAGAGTCTGTCGATTTGATCTGTTATGAGGAACTTGTTTTTGATCAAACTCTGATTATCTAACCAGAGACGATGCCCGTCACTTCCTCACATATTACTCTGCATATAAGCTCTGCAGAATCAAACCAAATAAAAAGAATCCCAAGGAAGGTCCAATGGTAAGTGAGACTTCCAGGGCAGGCAAATATATTTCTATTTAATGCTACGTTCACAGCCGCTTTACATGCAAAGTCTATGGTTGATGTGCATCAAAAGGTTCTGGAGCAGCAGAGGCTCGATTTAGAAAAAAATGTAATTGTTGATGCTCGACACTTCACATCAACCAATCAGAGAAGCTGATCTGGGAGCTGGCAGAGAGACAGACGACAGCAAAGATCGCTATAACTCCACTGAAACAGTTTATTAATGCCGAAATGGGCTTTAAATGTCAAAACCTGACAGCAAAATATGTTCGCTTTTATTATTCTGTCGCCTGCAGTTTGTACCAGATAGCTGAAAAGCTCCCAACATCTACTTCCAGCCGCCTTGAACAGTAGGGGAAAACCCCCAAGCAGCGACCGGGCCTGAGGCAGCTGCTGCTAAAGATACCCAGTGACAACGCCCTGCCAGCTGCGACAGCAAAATAATATTTAAGGAAGGATCATAATCTTGGTAAACTGACTGCATAGACGATGATTTCAGGTGAACTTCCTTGCTTAAAAATATGTTAAAAACTACTTTTTACCCACTGATCACAGCAAATATAGCAAAGCCGCTCTCTGTCATTGAACAAAGGAGCAGAAGCATCCGACGCATCAACACACTTTACTGGACGAGCTGCAGAAGCATCAAAGATGCTCAAGAGGAGCGTCTGACCTTGACGTGTACAAGCAACAAAAATGAACCAGCAGGTTCTTTCTTGCTTCTGAAATCGTGTGCCGTGTGAACGTAGCATAAGAATTTATTTTAGTGCCTGAAGTTTTAGTATTAAATCACACATGACCAATTTGCAAAGAGGTGAAAACAGGCCTTCGTCCTGCCTTATTTATGCTTCTAATAAACCAATGCACCACATCAAAAAACTCAAATAATCTTAAACTGCTTTCCTTACTAACAGAACGAGGGCTTGATTGTAATGACAATCACAAAAGCAATGAGATCCAAACAGAAGCTTAAACTCAACAAGGAAAGATCTCAGCTGAAAATGGTTCAGATCTGAGTTTTTCTACCTCACCTGTTCCTCCAGCAATCATCCCCACATGTTTGGCTGTCTTGGTCACAGCTGGAGATTTCTTATCCGGCTGAATGGCAAAAACTCCTGCAGAGACAACAGGTTCAGATTAAAGTTGAGACTTCAGCAGTCAGATTCAGAGACCAAACCAGATGTTAACAATGAAGCTAATGTCAGCATGAGCCTCAATGTTCACAGCAATCCCTCACTTTATCATACTCCTACAACTGAGTTTCTGGTATTCTGTACTTTTTAGACCAAAGTATTTTACACAGGTTATAAATGCAATTAAAACTTTAATAAAAAAATATGTGACTTGCCTTCTTTAAACTACAGGTTTCTAACATTTTTAACAATCTGGGTAGTTGAGAAAAGAAAACTAAGTTAGTTTGGTCTAACCTGTGGATTCAGCAAAAGACAGAACAAGCTAATATAACTGTTTTTCAGAGTGCGTTATGCTGCTATTTTAATGCTAATTCACCATCTGTAACAACTTAGATCAGCTCTTTATCTTGTGACATTACAAAATAAAATTACTTTAAATTCGGCTCATTTTCCATAATAGCTTTATTTTGTTTGTTTAAAAACACAAAAATAGATCCTATAGTGATATATTTAGGCTGTTTTGTCCCTTTAAGAACCAGGGTGACTATGGTGTAATCATTGTGACATTACTTTGAGCATGCGGGCACCAATCTGTCAGCCCACTGTCCTCATGCTCGGTTCCATCTCTGTACGTGCTTAACAGCAGCTGTGCACTCTGCTGTTTCCTGCTCGCTCGACTGTCTCTGCCCTCTCGACTCCATAAATGTATTTAAATGAACCGCACCATTAGCCAGTCACACTCTACTAATTTGTTGCAAATACCACATGCGGTTTAATGAAAAACTGCCCAAGTGGAGGATTAACAGTCTTACCCTGCCGTATGTTATGATTGCTTCACTTTTTAAATCTAATATTAAGAATGAAGGAAAACCTTTACAACATGCAGAGCAAGGACAACCAGGTCTTGAGGAATGAATACTACACAAAATGGCAGTAAGCATATGTGTACAGTATAAAAAGTATAAAATCAAAGAGTTTATTTCACCTAACATTAAGTTTTAGCTAAATCTTTTACCTTTTAAACTTCTGCCAATCCTCCTTTTTGGTAGTTTTTCATTAAACAGCGTGTAGTATTTGCAACAAATGCTTTGATTGGATGAAAAAAAAGTAGCGCGTGATTGGCTGATGGTGTGGTTCATTTACATACGTTTATGAGACACAGCTGGTGGCCCTAATCCTCTTCCGTAGGAGACAGTACCAACTAAACCTGAAGTTAAACATCGCACTAGAACTAAAATGAACTTTGTGGATTTTTGGACATGCATTCATTCCAAATACATAGCGCTAAAATGTTGAAACAGAGTCTTAAATTAAATTGGTCTAAATGAGAAAGACTGTGGATTAATAAAAAATTATCAAAGGAAATCCTAGATCTTTTTCCAGATTTTCAGGGATATGAAGTATTTTTGTTTAGGTCCCAAAGTATAAATATAAAATAAAATAATCCAAAAGTTTAATCTTAAGAAATTGGGCAGCATAATGATACAAATTTGAATTAAAAACAGCTTTTTTTTTTTTTTGAAATTCAGATTATCTTATTCTAAAACGAAAAATTTTCACACCTGTGTGTGAATGGAAACTGATCAAATCAACTTTAGGACTACTTAACAACGTTGGTGTTAATAAGTCGATCTCACCTTTGCCTTTGTAGACCAGAAGCCCACTGGGGCCCCTGAATTCAATCGTGTCCCCGATCTTCAGGCTCTCCAAATACTGACTCATCTTCCCCCCTTCTGGAAATTTCGGATTAACGTCTTTGAAATAAATCTGCCAGAACGACAGAGAGAAGACATTCAAATACTCTGAGTAAAACATGGAGGCAGAGAAACGTCTGAAATGTACCTTCACCACCAGGTCCACATAGCCTTCATCATCATCGCTGGAGACGGGCGTGTACGGGCGGACGACCAGAGATCCGTTTATTTTTGCAGACAAATAGATGTGCTGGCCTGGGAGGGGGAGAGAGCGGGGATGCATATTAAATTTTATAATTTGATATAAAAAAGCTTTTGAGCTTAATTGCAAAAAGATTGATGATTCCCAGGATTTGATGTGAGGTTTTTAAAGTTTTTACAGATAAGAATTTATAAATTGTTTATGTTTGAAGTCCTGCCTTAATAAGATACCCTAAAATAAGGGAACAGAGTCCACCTTCTGTCTAACTATAAATCCACATGTTCTGTTTCAGAGATCAAAGAAAACAGTAGAGAGGTCAGGTAAAACGTTCTGGCCGTCATTCGGAAACGGAAAGGTTTTCCACTGGCATTGCTCGATATGAGAAAAAAAAATGTTTGGAAATTATTATGATGACATTATCAATAACAATAAATCCACATTTTCTTTGCTTCTAGGTGTGTTTATGTGTTCAACTGTTTGAGACCAATAGCATCTTTGACACTGGAATGTGTCTCTGGTGACTGAGTGAAAATAGACAACCAGCTGTGCTCCAGTCTTTTCTAATATTAATACTATATCCCAGATTGGAGGAACTCTGTCTCAAGAGAACCATTAGTTGTGCACAAATATGCCTCAATAATAGCCTAAAGATAGTTTCTGATGTTTAGAACAGATAATTTCAGCATGAGCAGAGTAGAAAAACATGACACGATGGAACAGCGGTGAGAACAAAGCCTTTGTCTAAAGAAAAAAAATGTAAATCACTGGTTAAGGATTGTATAGAGTCATGCATGAGGAACAGCAAACAGGTAGAAGAGCAGGTCTGGTCAGAGGAGATCAAAGCTGATATTTCCAGCCTACACAAAGCATGCTGTGGGGGAAGAAAAACTAAGATTTCCTGAAATATCCTAACAATAAAACATGGTGGTGGCAGTATTATGCAAAGATGATGATTTCCAACCATCCAAAGAAGATTTTTAAGGAGTTCAACTCTGTGGAAGTGATTGGCTAATAAAAACTCACCCAGCAAATGTGAAAAGTGGTTAAACTGAACAATAAAAATTAAGATTTCTTTTTTTTTATTTTTTATAAATGTGTCCTTTTCTTTCTACATCTTAAGAACTACTTTGTGTGAGTCTGTTGCAATACTCTGGCCTTATAAATATGTCCTTTATTCAAGATACCAGATGTTTCATGTGTCCATTGCAGAGCTCATACTGACCGATGGGCAGGCCGAGGATGTGTTTAGGAGAAGGCAGAGCAAAGCGGAACTTCCTGGTGTCGTGACTCACAATCTAAAAGAAACGACAAAATAATTTCAGCAATTATGCTGAAAAGACTCAAATGTTGAAAAGGCAGGACATCCATTGTCAATCAAACAGACATATTTTCTTACCACACTGATAATCAAACGAGTAATAGATCAAACAATAACAAATCTCTTTTTAATCGACTGGGTTGGTTGGATGTTTAATGGTTAATCATAATTTTAATATCATTACCAGATACCTGAAACTTCCTGCTGTAGAGTTCAATAAAATGCCATCTAGTGTAGTGATAATAATGCAAGGTTACAATCCAACCTCTGTGTTTAATCAATGTTTAAGATTAACTTATTCAACTATAAGTGATATTTTTTCTGAGCTCTTAAGGGCAGATCAGACTTCTGCAACTGCACACATCAAATGTCACTTGGGTCTGGTAGCGAACCAGTTTTGCTGGTATGCTTCTGCACCTCGGTCTGGAATTTCTAGGGACACATAGCAGTTTCCCGCCAAAGCGCGAGGGGGAGCCTATTCGAGAACTCGTGAGAACGTCGGCGGATGGTCACAAGAACTTTGTTTTGGCAGAGACAATGGCATCTTTATATAAATTAACCTTTTGTTGTAGTTGTTCCTTGGTTTTTAAAAATGGTGCACCCCGGCACAAATCGAGAAGGACGACCACACAGCCGGAAAGGCATACCAAGGACCAATCACAGCTGCTTTTTGTCTGCGTACTTCCGCTTGAGGTCTGCGCGGGTTTGTGACCAGGATTTATTTTTTAGGTGTGCGGCGACGGTTGCAGAGCCTCTGCGCGGGGGGCGTGGTTGTGCACAGAGACAGATTCAACCTTTGCAGAGGCTATGCATCAGAAGCATAGCCCCTGCAACCAGTCTGGAATTTCTAGGGACACATAGCAGTTTCCCGCCAAAGCTCGAGGGGGAGCCTATTCGAGAACTCGTGAAAACTTCAGCAGATGGTCACGAGAACTTCGTTTTGGCTGAGACCTTGGCATCTTATTTGTTAAAGGCATCGTACGAGTGGTTGTACTTCAGAACCTTCTCGATTAACCTTTCATTGTAGTTTTCCATTGTTTCTCGGTTGTTAAAAACGGCGCGCCCCGGCATTGAATCGAGAAGGAAGACCAAACAGACAGCCGGAAAGGCGTACCAAGGACCAATCACAGCTGCTTTTTGTCTAGGCACTTCCGCTTGAAGTCTGTGCAGGTTTGCAGCCGTCCAATGCATAGTCAGGATTTTTTTGAGATGTGTGACAACAGTTGCAGAGCCTCTGCGCGGGGGGTGTGGTCGTGCACAGAGACAGATTTGACGGTTCCAGAGGCCATGCATCAGGAGCATAAATTGGCCTTTACTACACAGAGGCTGCATCTGCAGCAGATACAGTTCCCTATTTAAAAAATTGAACAAATAATCTGCAACTATTAATAAAACTGCACGCTGTGTTAATGGTGCTGTGAGTAAAAAAGATATAAGGAAATGTCTTTTAGGTTCTTTATAAAGATTACCTGGTTAAGCCCTAATGTTACCTGCGGCTGCTGTGATTCTTACAAGTTTGTTATTGACCTGATCTAGAAATTCAAATAACAGGACATCTGTAGATTTTAAACCAAAAAAGTAAAATATGAAAACATTTTTGTTTTAAATATTTAGTAATACACACTATGGAAAATAACTTTACATTTTCAGCCTTTTCAGAGTGATTTGGTATTGTTCTCATTACACCATCTTCCAAAACCGGGAAACTTAATTTAAGTCTGGCTCCCAATTTAATGTTTTTAGATTAAAAACAAAAAAAGTTTTTTTTTTTTTTCCCCTTATCAGATTTTTTGTATACATCTGCTCTATAAATACATTTAGTTCCCTCTTATATCACATTGATCTTACTTATTACCAAATTTTTTGAATTTGTAAATGTTTTCTACATGTGTTTAATAAAGATTTGAGTAAAAAAAAAAAAAAATAGAAAACCTGTTCTTCAAACTGAGCCTACAGAGCAAGGATGGTACATAATTAGGTGTTATGCATTAGCAGACAGGAGGAGGAGTTGCTGCACAGTTCTCTGCTTACCTGTTTGTCAATTAGCCTGAGCGCATATTTGATGTTTGGATCCTCCAAGGTGATGGCAGGTCTCCTCTTGGAGAAGAACAGCCTGAAGATGAGGTTGATGATGCCATCAAAGCCGCCTCGGATCAGCTGTGAGATGAAGGTCAAACAGCAGAGTATCCACTAGCATTAGCTTCAGGCTGAACAGCAGCCCTGCGGGGCGTCGTCAGAGCTAAAAGTCATCTTAGTTTAATCCCCAACAGGACAAGTGAGTCACGCAAATTCCTGCGGGGAGGCCGACTGGACGTTATGTGGAAAAACTGAGTGTTTTAGCTAATGCTAGCTTTGAGCAAGGCTGCGGGTTTTAAATGTATGTATATAAACAAATAAATGTGCATTGAACCGTACTCACCCCGATGATGTAGGACAACATTATCAGTTCGTTCAGACAGCTCGAAAATTGTTTGTTGGGAGCGCTGCACAGGAGGAGCTGATTGCAACGGAAGTTCAGGCTGCGAGATTTGCGTGAAGAGATGACAACATCCGGTTACAGCTTTTCAAAATTAAAGCTTTCAAATTAAAAAAAGTCGTATTATGGTTATTTAAAACTTTACACAGATGGTTCAAAAAATTCAAAGGTAAATGTGAGAATAGCTATATTCATTCCAGAATTTAATATATGTATATGTAAAAGATTAACAGACCTTTTGTATATATACGCAACAGAAATGGTATGGCAGGCCGATTTGACATTTATTAGAAGTGACGTCCTCTCTGTTTCATTTGTTGATCTCTAAAATTAGATTCTTCCTAGTCAAAACTAGTCACATTTCTATCATAGATAGCACTAAAGCATGCTACCTAGTCATAATTACAATAATCCTAGTCAGAATTGTATTTTAGATGTCACTAATTGCATTTCTAATTTCTATGTGATATGTATATTTTAGATAGGAAGAATGTTATTTTAGATATCTGAAATGTTCATTTTGACTAGGAAGAAATGCATTTGAGACATCTGGATATATATATTCAATCAAGCTAATAGATGTCAAAGCGGCCTGCCATAGGAGGTAGCAATTATTATTAGTTTACAGTGGGTGGAGGAGGTTAGACCGGACAGGGTGGTGAGTTGCACAAATTCTAAAGCTGCAATAGAAAGCATTCCATTCATTCAGGAGGAAATAATAGGAAAGACCTTGTATGAGAAATTCATCAGAGTTTGTTTAGGTTATTTAGGTGTAATAGATGTTCAGTTCTGTTGGGTTCCAGCACATGAAGGAGTGAGAGGAAATTAAATAGGAGACAAGATGGCTAAAGGCTTTAGGAAAGCAGAATATAGATCAGATTCCATTTGGGAAAGGGAAAGATAAATCAATAATTAAAAAGAAAGAAACAAAATTATGGCGAAAAAATATGGGATGAAGATGAGAGAGAAAGAAGATTATATAGGGTTCAAAAATCTGTAATTGTTATAAATTATGGAGAAAGAAGCAGAAGGGAAGATATAATATATACTAGATTAAGAACTGGACATACCTACTTGAATGAGTTTTTGTTTGTACAAAGGAAGAGAAATAATGATTTATGTGAAGGTTGTGAAAGAAAAGAAAATGTGGATCATGTTTTGATGGATTGCATTAAATATGCAACTGAAATAAAGAGGATGAGGAAAGCAATTACGGAAAAAGGGAGAGAATAGAGTATTAAAGGAATTTTAGGGACAGATGGAGATAGGGAGGAAAATTTGGTTATTAACAAAGCATTCTTTTTATTTTTACATAACACAAAAAAAAACATAGCATATAGTAGGTGGAACTATAGAGCTACACACTCATGTACAGTAGGTGGTGGTATGCACCTATAAGTTGTTTGCAATCCGCATTTGTTACTTAAGTAGAAGTAAAGATACTGCAGTTTAAAAACACTCTGGTAAAAGTTAAAGTATGAGTAAAGACCTCTTTACTCAAGTAAAAGTGAAAAACTATGTGCTCTAAAAACTACTTAAAGTATAAAAGTATGAAGTAACCTTTAAAAAAAAAAACAGCCAGATGCCAAGAGTAACGTTTGTTTTAAAAATGTAACGAATAGAAAATACAGATACTTGTGTGAAAATGTAATGAGTAGAATTCAGAAGTAGGAAGAAAAATAAGTAATGGAGTATAGATACCTAAAAAGTGTACTTAAGTACAGTAATGAAGTATTAGTACTTCGTTAATCGACACCTCTGATTTTGACAAATAACAATAGCTTAGAAAATATATTCAGGTAATTTAGCTTAATCGTTAACTCTGCATATAAAATAGATCCATTAAACACAGATTCTCCAGTCGGCTTTCAAGTAATGGAAATTAAAAATTCATTTTACCAAAGAATGAATAAGAGTTATTCATACTACAGAGTGATAAAAAATATTTTTACAAACAAAAAATGTCAGCCTACTGAACGATATGTACAGTATGACATGGATATGTGCACACAGTGCATATACATAATAACAGCCTTTTGTCTTATAAGTTTTATTGATCCAATGAACAGATGAATCTGAGATGAAGCCCTAATTAATCTCAATTTCTATAATTCCTTCAGATCAGCCTGGATTATTTGAGATTAGATTTTGGTTGAATTTGGAAGCTTCTGTGGATTTCATGGATCGATACCTTAAAAAAAATAATTAAATATTGCCTCAAATCAAGAAGAAATTCCTTAACAGCCAAAGTAAGACAATTTGAAACATCTGTTATATATTTATAGATGGCTTCTTTTCACTAATATGCTTGGATACCTATAGTTGTCTGTAAAAACCTCTAGGAATGGACTTTTTTTTTGTTTTTTGTCAGCAGCTTGAGTCAACCAGTAGTAAGTGGGAATTTTATAGGACTAGTCATAACATTTCTGCATCCAAGTTTATTCAAAATGGAACCAAGGTTTTTAAGGAAACAAAAAACTCCAACCACCTTAAAATGAGCAAACATGGTGGTTATAGGTTGTATCTAACATCACTACATTTGAAAATACACTCCGACCTAAATTATAACTCTGTTTATGCATGCTTCATAATCTCTGATGGATAGGTCTGATACATAAACATTTCCTCCTGCAGTTGTCACACATCATCTTATTACTGTGTTTTTGCACAAAAAAATACTTCCTAAGAAACTGGTTAACTTTATTGTAAATGTTGCAATCAGAGCTAATTCCTTCACATTCAATAACAGTATGTGTGTCTTTGTATAAACATGTCTAAATTAAAGCGGTGTATCTAATTTTTCATCAAAATTACCACAGAATTTAGTGCCAATGATGCTAAACCTTAAAAACTCACATACGCATGAAGATTTCTTTGATCATCTGCTTTATAGCAAAGGGCAGTATATATAAAAGGCAACATTTAGGCGAGTTTAATGAAAGATTACAGCTCGAACTTTAGTGTTCAACATAAAATTTATAGCTTTATGATATAGGATTTAATATAGATTGTTAACTTTAGTGAATGATTGTGAAAAGGAAGGAAAAAAAGCAGGTTCCAACATTTTTTACATATAAAAACAGAAAAGTACGCTGTGCATTTTTTACTGATCCTCCTCGATGCAGCATAAGATATCAGAATACTTTTCACTTTTTGCAAAAGCACACATTGTAAAATTATTTCCTGCAAGGTTTGTGCCATATTTATCTACCTGCTGAATTTTATTCTAAGCTTAACCCATTCTTCTTATAAAACATAACTCAGTTAGATTGAATCTAAAGGGGCTGTGAACATAAGTCAGAGACTCTCTTAGATTTATTTGGTCTTTCCAACACAATGACAAGCTTTGATATAAACCCTTCCACTGATGCTCTATGTTTATAGACAACCTCCCAAAAGGTGAACCTTCAGTCTCATGCCTTTTGTTTTCATCCCAGACAGACGTGTTTTTAGCTCCATCCATCAATCAAATCTGACAAACTTTGTTTCTCCTAAAAAAATGGGGCCTCGCTGCAACAATGCTGTCGCCATGATATGTTTCTAGGGGAACAGTTTGTTCGGGGTAATATAGAGGATAACATTTCTGTCTACAATAACATTTTACTCAAATAATTTAAAAGACAAATTTTAATTTTATCTGTTTTCTGCATCACCTCCATGGCTTGTGGGAGATTATATCTGGCTCCCATCTTGCTGCTTTGCAGTAAAGGTCAGATTAGTTAACTGCAACAGGTCACCTGATCCCTGTGGATCTCTGCAGCTCCTCCAAAGTTACCATGGGATTCTTAGATGCATCTTGGTCCAATGCTTCCTTCAGATGTCTGTCAGTTGGCGGAGAACCATGGTTAGGAATTATAGGGTTCCAGTTTTTACACTGTCTTGTTATTTTGAAGTGATATATTAAATCTTTGACACGTTCACAGCTTTGGATTTTATTTAGAATTAACACTTTTCCTCAGACCGTCTGCTGTGATCAATCTTGCTCTTTTGTCCTGAGATTATATTACAAACACTGAAATAACTTGATGGCTTCTTGACCCATCAGGGCACATTTTCAGATTTAAATTATATTTTTAATAGATGTGGTAAAAATGTTTCTTATCCAGTAGATCGCAGTGCTGATCTCTGTTAAACAGGCTGCCCTGAGTGTGGAGCAAATTTCAAGGCAACAGAAATTGGTCACGCACATCCTGTCTTTTTTTTCAGGTTATGATTGAGTGCAACCCTGCATGGGAATGAAAACACGACATGAAATGTATCAACAGGAAATAAAACATTTTTATTGATCATTTGTGTATATGAAGTTATATAACAACAGTCAGAAAACTCCACAGAGTGAATCACTACACAAAGTGAAACGAAACTGTAAAACACCTCATCAGAAAAATGAAGGTATACACAGCAAAAATAACCGTCAGCGGCTCGCTGTGACTGCGAGCGATATGGCAGGAAAAAACACCCCAAACAGTTCTACGAGATTACAGAGAAAACTTTCACACACAAAATACTCAAGCAGGCAGTTGATATACACAAAGGCAACTAGGATCTTTCTATAGCATCAGATTCTAATACTTTACACAGCTTTGCTTCTGAAAGGTCAGTGTGGCTTTTCCATTGGAGAGAATCTTGTCACACAGAAAGCTTGATCAGCTTCTTTAAGGGGGGGGATTTGTTTGTTGATTATACTTGCACGCTTTGGTAGGAAACCATTACATGGGAGGGGGGGGATGTTGCAGTGTGGGTAATAATGGCTTTTTGCTTTGTAGGTGTTTTTCCACCTCACGATCCGATGGATTCTGCAACAATGCCCCAGTTTCTGAATTCCCTGATGTATCTCTGTTTGATCAGATAAATCCTTCAACACAGCCTTGATTCGCTGAGGCCTCGGATTTGATCCTTGTTTAGTTTACGTTAAAAATCTGATGCATTTGTGGATTGCATGAAGCTACGCTTGCACAATGTCAAATAAAATATTCCTTCAAGTAGGAGAAATATATGGATGGCAAAAAGTGAGATAATTCAATAGAAATGTGTCTTATACACACATGTGATAAATAAGAGAAAAGGGAGACACATTTAAAGAAATTAATTTATTTAAATACAATTTATTTGTAATAATCCTGTAAATTCTTAAAAAGTCTAAAATTACGATTTATTTAATTTTCCTGTGTTAAAGCATATATATATATATATAATACATTTAGGCTATTTTTTTCATGATGAATTCAAACATTATAACAATAATAATATTAAGCTAAAACAGGTTTGGGGAAATTTCCCTTTCAACTGAATGATGTGAATATTTATGAATTTATGGAATATCTATTCAGTTGTTTACAAAATGACTTATCAAACAAATTAGATAGTTGTGGGTCAAATTAGATACGTGTCATTTAAATAAACTGCTAAAATAATCCATAAATAACTATTTAAAGGTTTCAATACAGTATTGAATGCACATTTTAATAGTTTTCAAAATAAATAAAATATTATATATAGCCAAAAAATGTATTCTAACACTTTTTTTTATTTTGATGAAGTATAAATAAAATCAAAGAAATCTAATCTAATATTTATATCAGATATTTAATATTTAAATTTTTTAAATAAATTGAAATTATAAGCATATAGCATTTGATTAAAAATCTTTATTGTGCAAGTGTTGCTCATTTTACACTTTTATTATCTGAGTCAGCAGAGCACGCTGCATGCAGATCAACCAATCAGATGTCAGATTAAATTATTTCTTAATAGTTTGTTGGACAAAATTAAAGTAACTAAAAATCTATTCATGGTTATTTTTCTGTATTAATTACTCCCTTTAGATAAAATATAGATTTTTGAATGCTTTAATGTATTTATTCAAAGTATATTCCAATGATCACACATGTAAAGTAAAGCCATTTCATTGAATTGTGGCACTTTAAGCCTTCAATAGGGATGAAGCCGTTTGGAAGGATTGAGCTTTTATTTCGCATTGGACATGAATGTAGAGTTTAAAAATCCTTTAGATTACTGTATTTACTTTTTTCTACAACAAAAAAGTGCAAAGTACATGTAATAATCTCACGATTAAAGAAATCTACACCAACACAGTATGTACTGTACATTCAGAGTTTTCTTCTTAAATATAAAAAGAGATTTTGACGTTAAGGCAGAAAATAAAAAAGAATGATGAGGTTTAAAACAGAAATGAACCAGTTATATTTTATCTCCCTTTATATTGATTTTTGACATGGTGTGGATATATACATGGCATTTTTAGGGATATTCATCTTGTTTGGTTTTTAACTAAGACTCCCTGAAACTTCGGATGCTAAACTGTGTGCAAGAGAAAAACGGACCTGCGGAAAAAATAGGGAGGAAAACTTTAAGAAGAAGTGAACAAGCTGGATCTACGGTGCGCTGCGCCTGAACCGCTGGCCTGGAAGGACGATCGTCATCCTCTCTGCTGATTTTAACATTATGGGATGGACATACAAGTATTGCACAGTGCTCAAACAAAAGGCTGTGAGAGCGACCCGCTCGGATAAACACGCGTGACGTCGGCACGCTCTTTCTCTCTCTGGTTGCATGGAGGAGGAGGGGGCAGGAAGGGGGGGATGGCGTTAAACGCTACGACATCACTACAGAACAAACCTGCTACCTACTGATAAATCTACATCTCTAAGCACACACGGCAGTCACAGTGATACACAAAGCAGTCGTCAGAGACTCCTATGGAATGACAAGTAGCTTTTTCATAATAGTGCTATCAACTACACAATAACATTGAAAACATTTAGAAAGTCCTCCTGAAGTGTAAGCATCGATATAAGCAAGAGGTTCCTCCAAGACTTCATGGTTTCTATGAATTATCCCACTCCTAATTGGACCCTTAAGTAAAAAAAAAACAAGATGGACGAAGAAGACCACTCACTTTTACGGTAGTTTACCTGCTTTCCAGGTGTTGTCGTGTGTAAACGACAAAATTAAGCAGATGCTGCGGCCCGAAGGTGCCAGGCAAGAAGGTGGAATAGAAAAAGGAGGCGGGGGAAATCTATTTTCTCGGTTTAGGAAACTGTACGCAGAGTTTGAAATCTGTTCTTTTAGTTTATAAAATGTATGCATGGACTTTAATATGTGCAGTAGGTGAGGAAACCTATTAGATCCACGTCCACTGTTTTGGAAACTGTATGCACAATCATACCTTCCTTTTTTTTTTTTTAAATGTACATAAATTAGCTGTTCCCTCGGTTTAGAAAACTGTACAAAAGAAATCACAACCAGTTTAAGAACAGTTGATCAGATTTCTTAGTAAAGAAAAACCTTTCTGCAAACAGCAGTTTTTTCTCCCAAATTAGATAAATTGAAATGTGAACTTTTTTTTAGGAAATCATGAACCATAAGTAATTGATCCATGTAATTTGGGGAAACTGCATGCATGGCTTACATTCAGATTCATTAATTTATGTAACTGAACAGACTGTGATCTGTTCCTACAGGTTTAAAGATGGTTTAATAAACTGCAATCAGTTTTTTTCAGCAGTTTAAAAACTGTACATTAGAATACAAGTCATCCCTTCATATTAGAAAAACATAATGACTGAAATTATCGACTGCCATGCATTGCCTCATGGATTATAATCTATTCCTGCATTTCTAAAAAAAAAAAAAAAATTGAACTAGCTTCAATGTTTTAAGTTTAGATTTTGAATTTTCTGTCCAAATTTTTTAGGTTCATGCAGTTTCAATAACATTATGTATGTCCTCCAATCCGTTCCCTCTGTTTAGGACATTTTTAAAAGGGACTGAATTCTTCATGAGATTACTTTCTTTCAATAGAAACACTTTATCACTGGAGCATTTGGCAAGTTACATAAACAGTTTGCACACATGCCAGCTTTTCGACTAAATTTAAGAACATGCACGCACAGATTTGAGTCCATTCACTTAGATTATGAAATTATGAATAAAGAATACAATTGATTTTCAATATTTGTCTTAAAACTCCAATCATGGTTTAGTCTCCATGTGGAGATTATTTTAGGATCAGCTGAAAACAACCAAAGCAATCCCAATCAATACCTTAAGCCAATCCTTTAAACAGCAAAAAGCTATAAAACATGTTAACAATCAACATAAATCATAATCTGGAAATAATAATAGATTAGTTTAAAAAAAGGTTGCAATTGTCGCTAAACATAAACCATTCCTAATAATGTACAGTTTACTAAATAGATGGAGCAAATTTCCCCACACCTCTATTTTTGATTCCTTGCCCTGCTTCAGAGAAGCTGATTTTTATTTTACTTGTGAGGATCTCTGGCTCCCCCTGCAGGTAAACCGACACAAATTAAAAATGTCTCTTAGAGAAGACAACAAGCGAGTTTCAAAGACGTCCAGTGCAAAAACAGCAGCCACATAAAAGTTAAAATTGGCAGTAAAACATGGCTAGCTCTATTGTCACTGTGAGAAGGCAACGTAAAGCATAGACTGCGATTTAGGGCACCGTTGCAGCCAGAGACATTGTTCCCGAAAAACCGAAGCTACGACCACTAGCAAGTGGGAGTGTGCATGAAGAGAGGGTCTCAGCTTAAGTCGCCTCCCTGAAAATGGCAGTGTTTAGAAACTCAACATTCAGTTGAGACAAAGTTTGATTTTTGTCTTTTTAGGCCACTCCTCTGTTTGAAGGCAAGGGGATCGTAACAGAACGGCTCCCCCTGGTGTCCGCCGGCCTTAGGTAAAAGATCGTAAAAATTAAAAGCATCATGCACTTTACTAAAAATAGTCAACACGGTGAATTGCGCTAAAAAATAGTCCCCTTAAGTCCAGATCTGCAATTATGTATCTTTTTCAAACATGACACTTCCAGACAAGGCTGTTTAAACATAATATTGTTAAACAAGATTAAGGGCACAATGGCTACAGCTTGGTGCTTTTTTTAATCTGCGAAACGTCCGTTTCTCAACAAATTCTTAAAAAATAAGCCTAAAATATTTAGCCAAATATGAAAAGACTGACTCAGATGTGATCTTTTCAACCTAGATACTGCAGATCCTGGTAGAGAACCGAGTGCGAAATATCATTAGAAGGCATGTGCTTTGAACATTTCCAGCAGCATAATTTTCCAAACAGAACCATAGCAGTAAATGGCCTCATATTGTTTTTATATTCAACTGTTGTTTTTTTTTACCCTACATTGTTGAACTTAAAGCCAGACGCCGTCCTTTACAGTCGGAACATTTTCCTCACTCGCAGGTTGGAGTTGAATGTCGTTTTATTCTGGAATGCAATAAAGTAATAAGGTAGAATTTTTAAATCCTGGGATATATAATATTGGCTTTCCTCTATATCTGCATTTACATAATTTAAAATAGAACATCTTATTAAAAACATCGAGATATACACAGATTAGGAAACGGGTAACAACATACAAACACAGAAACTAGAAATCATTTTTGTCTTCATACTTATATATACAACTGTGATACAATAAACTCTTTCAGTCATGCGCTATCTATACAGATCATATTGCTTAAAAGAAGGGGGCTTTTGGTCATGGCGGTGAAGGGCTCAGAGAAGGAAATCAATCAAATAAAAGGGGAACACAAACTGAGAACCTAAGATTTTAAAAAAGCGAGACGTTTGAACGCTTTACTTTGTGTAATCAGAAGGTAAAGGGAGGGCTTACATGGATGGACCCATATATCACTGAGGTATTTACACAAACTGGCTAAAGAGTACTACAAGGCAAGGAGCTGAAAGTGGCCCTGCCTATTTCTTGGTGGCGAGCTGAGCGTCCACCTCCTCCTCAGGTTTCAGCACATGCCACTGGGCGATTGGTCTCCGAGGGTTGGCCAGCATGTCGGACCAGTGGCGCAGCTCCGTGCCTGTGCTGTTCAGGCCCACGAACACCTTACCAATGGCATCGTTCTTGCCGATCTTGTCATAGTCCAGAACAGTTATAACAACTTGCACTTTCTGCAGTGGGAGGAAGAGGAGAGAGGTGGGGAAGACAGCAGAGGATCGGTTGGTTTTAGAAATATTCCAGGTTCTTTGTAACCTTTCAAAACCCACCGGGTCGCCGGCGACCCGTTTTAAAGCGTTTACAAATAATAACTCAGAATGCATGAAAATTACACCGATAAAATGTTTACCAATTTAGACATGTTAGACATCGTTGGAAAGCTTAGATTCTCCACAATTCAACCACCTAGTTCATTTTATGGACATAGTGAGCACCAAAGCACAATTATAGCAGCATGTCGAAATGTAGCATGACAAAGCAGCCAGAACAAGCAAGCATGTCTTTATTACTGATGTTCAAAAAATATCTTATTATTTTCGAGAAGAAAAAAAAACAACTTTGAGTCATGTTTGAACCGATGCAGCATGGGTTTTATGCAGCTTGGGTGTTTTACTAACTCAATTTTTATGTATATATTCAGAAACTAGAAGGTGTTAGCCTTCAAATAACGTATCACACATGTAACTTGGGCTTACAGTTCCTTAGTCATGTGCTATTCCATTTGGGTCTGCTAAATAGGCAAATTTCCCAGAAATGAGGTGGATATTAAGAGTTTAAGCTGGTTTATTGCTGCTGAACAGCATATTTTTTATTTCTGGATCCCATTTTTGGAACTGAAAGTATTATTGAGGGCTTGTGAGGAATATCAGCACAAAGCCAAACTGCAAAGAGGAAAAAACATACACGGTTTCCACATCCTCTACATATAAACATCTAAAAAATGTGGCGTGCATTTATATTCAGCCATCTACTTGTATGATTACAGTTAAAAATATTGTGGTGTCTCTCTACAACATCTGTGAATCTCAACTGTACTTTTTGCTAATTCCAGTAATTTCAGAGTGGAAGGAGCATCATTGATTTCATGCTTTAGTTGTAAGTTTGAGTTCTCTGGCTCTAAAACGTTTTCTCTCATTCTTCATCCTCCTACTGAGTTGCCATGGGTCACTTGGCTGCTTTTCGAGTTCTCGACAAATTTTCATTTTCAGATGACGGAGGGAAACATTGCTCTATATCAGGTGTAACCAATTAAAATGTCAAAGTAGAAGATCATCAACCACTAAAGGTCCAGAGATATTTTTAATTATAATCTGTTACTTTAAACAGAATTTAACACTGAAATAAAATTTGTTTTTTATATATAAGAAAAAGAAACATAATTTTTCAATATTTTTTCAACAATATTTTCCATTTTAAAATCTAAAGTTTTTTTTTGAGTAGAGAACAACAATCATTCAGTTTGGTATATAGACAATTTCCTGATTTCTCTTTGTTTTTTTTATTGTTTAATGAGAGCAGTGGGCTTTATGCAAGGCTTTAAACCTAGATTTGAATGGAGACAAATCCATTTTCAAGCACATATCAAGGTTCTCATTGATGAGCCTGGATCGATATTTATTTTTGATTCTGTTCATGGTGGAGAATCCTGGTTAACAGCAGTAGGTTGAGCCAAATATACTCTAAATGTGCAGGGTCATCTTTGAGCACGACATTTCACTTTTCTTTCACCAGTTCACCGCAGTTCTTCCAGCAGTTCTCGCAGTTTTTCATTGTCTTCTCCTTCATTCTCATCGCCCAGCTTTCCACAGGTTTGGCTGCTGTGTCTAAAAGTAGCAGCAGCAGCAACCCAGACTGACAGCTAATTGGCTAATATGCATCATGTGTAGACTGGTCCCGGAGGGCTTTACCGTACAAACAGGAAAAGCGGGGCAAGTAATATTTGACACTGCCGTGTTTTTTAAATCAGGTCGGGTCCGGATTAGCCAGCAGGTGGGTCCGGATCTGGACTGCAGTCCGCTAATCCATGACCTCTGCTCTATAGGATGCTGGTCTCTTAGATGACTCAAATCTGATTTAAACTTCTCCACAACTGCATAAATGACCTGTGAACAGCTGAATATATACACTAAACTAACAAAGGTGAGCCAATTTTACTGATTAGCTCACAGCTAATGGCAGTTGGTTGCAGCATATTTAGATTTTGGAGAATAAGAGTAAAAGGGGCTGTGATGAAAATACCTAATTTTTCAGATTTTGGTAAGAAATTTGAAAAGAAGTAATTCCTTTCCAATGAATCACGCAAAAATTTGTGTTGTTCTTTCTTATAAAATTCAGAATAAAATAAACAAAGTAGCTCTAAATAACATTTTCAAATCTGCACAAATATGAAGCTTGTAAGATCTATAATTCAGGTGCTACTAAGGACCCCTGGTGGCCTTGTTAAACTAAGCAGCAGCTGAGTTTGCTTCTACCTCAGGCCGACTCTGTGCACGATAATCTGCCCTTTGTCACTTTTCCAAAACAGAACATTTATGTTTACTCTAGAATATTCTTAGTTATTTTAGCAGTAAAACTGTAAATGTAAGGCTGTAAAAGTTACAAAAACTTCTTTAATATTCACCTGCTTAGAATATAGAGTGGTTTGAACATTGTAGAGCTCCCTAGCTTCCCACTTTACTCATTTTGTTTATGGATTTTTGTTACAAAAACCTTTTTTTTTTGCTTTTGCTTCCCTATCCAAAAAAATTAAAGACTTAAACCTTTTATATTACAGTAAAAATCAATCCCTTATAAGCACAATTACTGCACCTATATTACCACCTGCCGCCCATCAGACAGGTTTGTGTGACACGTCTGTTTTCCCTCAGGTGCTGCTTGTGCTCCCTCTAATGTTTCATCTACAGAAACCAAAAACTTTGAGAGGAGCTAAGGGGTTTATTGACTGCTACTTGATGCTAAATGGTCTGAGCAGCATATTTTGAAGTTTTTGGTATAAAGATAAATTAGTTTAGTGAGAAATAATTCATAAATCAGATTTGTGTTGATTAAGAGATTGTTTGATTCCTCACACTCCAGCCCTCAGACCGACTATGTTATTCAAAGTCAAGCTGCAAAGAGGCGTCAATTCACGACTCGCAATATGAATTAGTGCATGAGGCGGCCTGATTACGTTTCGATCCGTCGGCACACTGAGACGGAGCGACAGCCACCGGTGTGTGTGCGCCGAGTCACTGCTTTAAAAGACTGTGGCTAATACAGCATGTAATGAAACACTGAATAAGGCTCCCCAAAGGCCGGCTGGAGTTAGCTCATCTTTAAAGTTGCAGCTCACCTGCAGTTTGCTTATTGAAATTAGGCCTCCTTTGATACTGAACCAGCACATACTGTGATTTGTTAATATGGAAAACAGGCAGATAAACAGCTTAGCACGATTTTTAACGCTTCATTTCATACCGGAGAAATATAAAATAAAACAAGCTATTGGCTCTATGATCTTTCTATCAAGGAAGGGAAAGAAATTGTGTTTAGAATAAGTAAAATATTAATTATAAAATACATTCCACTTTAACAGGACTAGTTAGTTAGAAAACAGAATAAAAACACATTTACAAACTCAATTCTTCATGTTAAAGGTTAAATAATGATGAAAAGTATAATGGTTTGAATAAGTCAAATAATGTTATCCAAATATGCCTTAAATAAATCTTGCCTGCTGGCTGAAATCTCACAGTATTTGAACGTTCACAAACACGGACGAATCCAATATTTGCGAACTGACCCAAACTGGGTCAGCCAATCACATTGTGATGAAAGTAAAAAATGGCAAAAAGAACACATGGCAGTAGAGGAGGATGCTGCCACATGTGTTTGGTCAGAATCTACAGTTTCATATTTGAAATAGGAACAGCTTCAAGTGCTTTGTGCATTTTTCAAAGGCAAAGATGATCAGTTAGGTTCTGCTAGGCGTTGCTTTGCCCAAATCCACTCTAAACGTTTTGGTGAATGTTCCTCTTTTCCCCAAACAGATTAGATGGGAGCAAGCTCTGATTGATAACGTGTAGAAATAAGGGCTACATGCCAACAATATAACTTGCAAGGTTATTAAAATTAGCATAATCTAAGAAATGAGAAAAATAAAAATGAAAATTTTTATTAAACCGGAAATATAAGGAGGTTGGAGGCTCTGGACTGGTTCTATAATCGGTCTATTCGTTTAAAGTGTGCAGTTATATACACTATATTGCCAAAAGTATTTGCTCACCCATCCAAATTATTGGAATCAGGTGTTCCAATCACTTCCATGGCCACAGGTGTATAAATTCAAGCACCTAGGCATGCAGACTGTTTTTACAAACATTTGTGAAAGAATGGGTCGCTCTCAGGAGCTCAGTGAATTCCAGCGTGGAACTGTGATAGGATGCCACCTGTGCAACAAATCCAGTCGTGAAATTTCCTCGCTCCTAAATATTCCACAGTCAACTGTCAGCTGTATTATAAGAAAATGGAAGTGTTTGGGAACGACAGCAACTCAGCCACGAAGTGGTAGGCCACGTAAACTGACGGAGCGGGGTCAGCGGATGCTGACGCGCATAGTGCGAAGAGGTCGCCAACTTTCTGCAGAGTCAATCACTACAGACCTCCAAACTTCATGTGGCCTTCAGATTAGCTCAAGAACAGTGCGCAGAGAGCTTCATGGAATGGGTTTCCATGGTCGAGCAGCTGCATCCAAGCCATACATCACCAAGTGCAATGCAAAGCGTCGGATGCGGTGGTGTAAAGCACGCCGCCACTGGACTCTAGAGCAGTGGAGACGCGTTCTCTGGAGTGACGAATCGCGCTTCTCCATCTGGCAATCTGATGGACGGGTCTGGGTTTGGCGGTTGCCAGGAGAACGGTACTTGTCTGACTGCATTGTGCCAAGTGTAAAGTTTGTTGGAGGGGGGATTATGGTGTGGGGTTGTTTTTCAGGAGCTGGGCTTGGCCCCTTAGTTCCAGTGAAAGGAACTCTGAATGCTTCAGCATACCAAGACATTTTGGACAATTCCATGCTCCCAACTTTGTGGGAACAGTTTGGAGCTGGCCCCTTCCTCTTCCAACATGACTGTGCACCAGTGCACAAAGCAAGGTCCATAAAGACATGGATGACAGAGTCTGGTGTGGATGAACTTGACTGGCCTGCACAGAGTCCTGACCTCAACCCGATAGAACACCTTTGGGATGAATTAGAGCGGAGACTGAGAGCCAGGCCTTCTCGTCCAACATCAGTGTGCGACCTCACAAATGCGCTTCTGGAAGAATGGTCAAAAATTCCCATAAACACACTCCTAAACCTTGTGGACAGCCTTCCCAGAAGAGTTGAAGCTGTTCTAGCTGCAAAGGGTGGACCGACGTCATATTGAACCCTATGGATTAGGAACGGGATGTCACTTAAGCTCATATGTGAGTCAAGGCAGGTGAGCAAATACTTTTGGCAATATAGTGTATAAATATATGCAAAATAAAACTTTTTTTTTTACCATAATGAAAACCAAATGGTGACCAATTCTGGCAGAAAAGTCTTAGCACTAAGACTCTATTTGTTGAATTTAATAATCTCTTGATAATCTCTTCTGCTGGGAGGTTTATGTTTGATGATTTAATCCAAACCCTCTCAGATTTTTTGTTTTTTCAAGCTGCATTCTTCTGTTGGAACTATTCATTTATTCTGATCTAGTCCTTTAGAGGCTTTTTCACTGTGTGAAACTAAACTGTGCTGTATATGCAAATGGTGAGTGGTAGCTCATTACTGTGCGACGAGTGTGGAAAGAAACTTTAAAAATAAAAGCAAAATAAAAAACAAAAAACTAAAGTGATGATTCTGACACAGGTTGATCCGGATTGGTCAGGCTATGCCTCTGATATTAGATTTTATTGATAATAATAAATACTTAATTGCAACAAAAAATAACAGAACAAATCCTTAAGGGGAGGAAATTTTTCTTTAGATATTACCAATGAGACGCCTTTGCTGAAGATATCAACAAATGCCTTTCAGCATCCAGTCAAGCTAATAATAAATATCACTCCATTAAATGTTAGGTTAACAACAAAAATAAGTATTTTTTTTTAAGTGTTTAAAAAGAACAGAGTTCAAGCCAATGCTTTAAAAAAAAAAAAAATCAAGCATCTTGTGAAACGTAATGGAAAAATAAACAATCTAAAGCAAATAGAGCGAAATCAATTAAGAATTTAAACAGTTTACCCCAAAAAACATCAATAATATGTGGGAGCAGGTTTGTAATTAAAGTCAGTAGAGCTCATGTGTTCAACAACCAATAAAGAGAGAGAGAATTTTAAAGCACTTCATTGGTTTTTCCATTTACAAGTTCAGTGTTTGATTCATCCAAGTCAAATTAGGTCTTTAAAGTCTGTTTATAGCTGTCCCACAAAGGGTTCAATACAGTCAACCAATGATTCAATCAATTCCTGCTCAGTGAGGAGCTCAAACAGGTACCCAGCATACAGGTCTGAGTATTTATTAGAGGGTTGACTGGGATCAGATCTGATTAAACTGATTGTGGGGTATCAGACCCATGATTGGTGAGCGCTGACAAGTTTAATTAATTTCACTCAATTACCACCCCTACCTGAGACGATAATCTTATTTGTTTTTCTTTTTCATAGTTTCCGAGTCAATGAATTTATCCATTTTTAATAAAGACTCCATCTTTTCTCCCTCCTGAACCGCAGACGCTGTCATAGACCATCGGCGCCACTATAACACTTGATTAAAATCAGCTTAATGATGATAGGTTGGTGATCATTGCACTGTAAGAAATGCTACAAACAGATAAATGAGATAAATGCCACAGGCAATAAGAGTGAAGAGAATAACAACCATTCAGCAATTGGCTTGTCTAATTGCAGAACTGAGGCCGATTTAAACAGAATTGCCTTTGATTAAACTGTTACGATGAAATAGACGTTAAGATGATTATTTGGCAAATGAGCTTGAATTGATCAAAGCTAACTCAAAACAATTTGTTTTTTTAACTTGTTGCCAATTAGAGGACTGAATGCTATGGTGGATGAGGCAGGAGACTCACCTGGATTTGTTCAAATGGGACCTCAAAGCTAAAGGACTCGTTGTAGTAAGGGTTGAGGGTGTTCTTCTTGATTGTCGTTTTCTTCTTCTTCAGCCTCTTTCCGTTTTGCATGAGGTGGATCTTCACGTATGGATCTAGAAAAGAAGAGAAACAGGAACATTTTAGGTGTGAAGGGAAAAATAGTGAATGAAATTTAAGACTTTAACCTTTTAAAACCTGGTGTTTAAAACTGTATCAGAAGCAGAAAACACGTCCAACGTTCAGCAGAGTTGGAACTTATATAAACCTCTGTCCATCCATCCAAACAGTTTTAGCTCACTATATGGCTATATATGAACTTAAAGGTATAGTGGAGGATGTTCTTTTTTTGCGTGGATCACCAAAATAAGTGATCCTCCTAATTGTCATTCTGGTGATATGTGTAGGTAAGGCCGTCCAACGTGCTCGTCCTCATTTTCACTTACCGCCGGCGAGTCTGACATAGTGGAAAAATTGCAAATATTATTTTGGAAAGTAAGTTTGTATGATGCGATGCAAACAGCAACTTTTAAACAGAGCGTGCACAAGGAAAAATGGGCTTATGCACGCTCTTGCACACATTAAATAGGTGTTCCCTAGTTTTGCATTTTTTTTTTAAAGGTGCAAAAATCCTCCACCATTACTTTAATGTGGTTTTATTCATCACTACTATTGACCTCCACTAATGTTTACACTCATCAAAAATGATCTAACAGAGCTGTTCAATAATCATATCTTAAAACTGATTAAACCTCCACCTCTGACTCTGTGTTTTTATATAAGTTTGATTAATGCTGCAACATTATTTTTAAAAAGATAATCATCTCAAACCTCTTAAAGCATGGTTTTATTGGTGAACCACTTTAAAAAGTGTTTATTTTCCAACTTTTGTAGTGCCTAGCTGTGCTTTACAATCAGGAGGATTTCTTTTCATTATGAGACATTAATCAAAAATATAAAAACACCATCAGAAGAAACGGAAATTAGGCATCCTATCTTACTCTGCAACAAAAAATAAGTATAGAGATCACTGGAAGACAACATAATTACATGGAAATGTGGCATTTAGCATTATTCACAAGTGCAGCTAATGCTAAGAGTTGATGAAATAGGCTGCTGGTCTGATTTGATTGATCAGGAGGGGTGATTATTTGCGTATGTGAATCAGTGTTTGTCAATCAGAATGGTTCCCAAAATCAATAAAAACTAACAGCTACAAGGAGCAAAATCTGAATAAAATAGATGCTACAAGAGATCATCAGCTCTGTCTGAGGTTACAAATGGTGGCTCTCAGCCTCATGTGTTGCATCAGTCAGTTAACCTTCTCCTCTCAAGAGCCTCATTGTCATCTGTCCGAACGGCATCTCGAGTGGAAGCCAATTGCTCTGCTTCGTCCGTCCTCACCCACTCTCCAGCAATCATGCAGAGTGTCCTCCTGAAAACTGCAAGCCACCTATCGCTTTCATTTATCTATCCAATTTGTTTATGTTTTCCAAACTGTAACCATAATTAAACTTAAGAGGGGGCCCAGAGACTTAAAGACGGGAACAAAGATCTTTTCAAATTATGAAATAATAGCCTTTTATTTTTCATTTTTTGGCTTCAAACAAGCCATTATGGAGGGACAAGGTGCAGCAGTTAATTTGCACATTCATTGAGAGCCTAATGAGACTAAACTATGGGCAGGAGAAGAATGTAACAAGGTCCTCTGCAATTTCCACAGACGCACAGAGAGATGAAAAAGGATTTTATATTGACAAGTCCTGTCAATTTATATTCCTTTTACCACTTTCATAACATTGCTGCTAGTCTCTTTCATAGAAATTAGAGAAATGTTTCATGACAGACAATTATGCTAATAATTGTTTGATAAGCTGAAAACAGTTCATGTAGTCCAAGTATTAAGCTCATGATAGAATACACTTCTTTACAGACTTCAAATATTTAATAAGACCATATTCTTTTCCCCTAAACTCCCGTAAAAGCCCTAAATTATTTCATTTTTAACGCAATGCATATTGTATAGTCAGCATTATAATCATTGAAAAAGTTCTTTTTTTTACATCAATAGTTATTAAATTAATCCCAAATTCTAATTTTTGATGATTGCAATGTCTGACAAATGCATGAGGTAAGTCACAGAGTAATAAGTAGTAAGGATCAGTCACACAATGATAGATATTAGACAGAATCTGCTAGAATGAAAGAAAATTAGAAATTTGTGTTGTTTGACGATAGTTACATTACAAACCTACATTATTTCCCTTCTGTACGTTGTTTTTTTTTTTGCTTACAATACTGTGGACTTTTCTAATTGACCCTCATACGTTCTGCATAGGTTCCCTTACTGACTTAGAAAATATTTTAATTGATTGTTTCGTTTGTTGTTTTAGTATGAACAGAAAGCTGTGTCACATATTTGCTTTATACTATGTTGAAGGAAATATATGCTGTATCAAATTTAAAGCTTTTGTAAATGGAATTAGGAAACAGCAAGAAGGAAAAACTTTCTGAAAAGCTGTAGATACACTATATTGCCAAAAGTATTTGCTCACCTGCCTTGACTCACATATGAGCTTAAGTGACATCCCGTTCCTAATCCATAGGGTTCAATATGACGTCGGTCCACCCTTTGCAGCTAGAACAGCTTCAACTCTTCTGGGAAGGCTGTCCACAAGGTTTAGGAGTGTGTTTATGGGAATTTTTGACCATTCTTCCAGAAGCGCATTTGTGAGGTCGCACACTGATGTTGGACGAGAAGGCCTGGCTCTCAGTCTCCGCTCTAATTCATCCCAAAGGTGTTCTATCGGGTTGAGGTCAGGACTCTGTGCAGGCCAGTCAAGTTCATCCACACCAGACTCTGTCATCCATGTCTTTATGGACCTTGCTTTGTGCACTGGTGCACAGTCATGTTGGAAGAGGAAGGGGCCAGCTCCAAACTGTTCCCACAAAGTTGGGAGCATGGAATTGTCCAAAATGTCTTGGTATGCTGAAGCATTCAGAGTTCCTTTCACTGGAACTAAGGGGCCAAGCCCAGCTCCTGAAAAACAACCCCACACCATAATCCCCCCTCCACCAAACTTTACACTTGGCACAATGCAGTCAGACAAGTACCGTTCTCCTGGCAACCGCCAAACCCAGACCCGTCCATCAGATTGCCAGATGGAGAAGCGCGATTCGTCACTCCAGAGAACGCGTCTCCACTGCTCTAGAGTCCAGTGGCGGCGTGCTTTACACCACCGCATCCGACGCTTTGCATTGCACTTGGTGATGTATGGCTTGGATGCAGCTGCTCGACCATGGAAACCCATTCCATGAAGCTCTCTGCGCACTGTTCTTGAGCTAATCTGAAGGCCACATGAAGTTTGGAGGTCTGTAGTGATTGACTCTGCAGAAAGTTGGCGACCTCTTCGCACTATGCGCGTCAGCATCCGCTGACCCCGCTCCGTCAGTTTACGTGGCCTACCACTTCTTGGCTGAGTTGCTGTCGTTCTCAAACACTTCCATTTTCTTATAATACAGCTGACAGTTGACTGTGGAATATTTAGGAGCGAGGAAATTTCACGACTGGATTTGTTGCACAGGTGGCATCCTATCACAGTTCCACGCTGGAATTCACTGAGCTCCTGAGAGCGACCCATTCTTTCACAAATGTTTGTAAAAACAGTCTGCATGCCTAGGTGCTTGAATTTATACACCTGTGGCCATGGAAGTGATTGGAACACCTGATTCCAATAATTTGGATGGGTGAGCAAATACTTTTGGCAATATAGTGTATATCTTTTGCAAAAAGCTCCCCTTAAAGAAAATGTTAAATGTTTTGAACAAAAATATCTATACCTAAATTTGGATGACCAAATATTTAATTATTAAAATTAAATCATTATATTTGTTCAAACCAAAGTGATGCAAAAAACAAAGACAAAAAAAAAAAAAAAAAACATCCCAGATTGTAAAAAAAAAAAAAAAAGTTTTAATGCAATAAAAAAAAGAAAGAAAAACTGGTTAGTAAAACGCAAAAATGACCAGTTATGGTTCTTAAAATAAAGAATGTTTGATGCAGTCAGCTGTCAGACATCATTTCTTCAGTACTAAAACTGTTAAAGGATTTATAAGATACTTTTTAGTTGCAAAATGTTGCATCACTAAAACGTATCACACAATTTCAACCAAACTTTAAACACTGTTCTCTTTCATTTCAGTCTAAATAAACTAATCTGCTCTAAGCTGATAATCCTGTAGCAAAATAATGTATTAAAAGTGCCTTATGGGTTCTGTTTCCCAGTTTCAAAAAATGTTTTTAAAGAGTGCAGTTTCTCAACTGTCCAGTAGATGGCAGCCCAATGGAAATAACGGATTTAATATCTAATAAAACAAACAGAAATAGTCCTGTTTCTTCATAAGTTAGATAAAATACAATAACTATGAACTAATGTTTTCTTTCTGCATCATGGCCTTTTTTTCTCCAATTAATGATTTAGGAACAACTTGAAGTATGATGGAGAAAAACAAATAACCACAATATTATTAATAAATTAAAATGTAGAATTAGTCATTTCCCTACTGAATACTGAGAATCAGAGCCGTGCATCAGCATGAATAAGCAGCAAAACTGAATCGGATCTCATAATTAGAAGATGAGACAACGCCGACTCGGTTAATCTGGATTTATCTCTGGATTCGATATGCATAAAGTCCTTATAAAGTTTGTAAGATGGCATGCTACACAGAAAAAGGGAGACTGTCATCCAATTTAGGGCAAAGAGGGCCTGCCTGCAGAGTGGTGGACTGGAGCAGGGCATCTGACATGAAAATGGAGAGAAAACAGCGTAAACAGAGTCGGGGGTAGTGAAAAGCAGCAGAATAAATAGATGACAGAGAGTGAAAAGGTAACAGGCTCCTAATGGAGTGGGTGTCCATTATTACTCTCCTGCTGAGAGGAGCTGAATCGCTGAGAAGATGAAAACAGTGAAGGAGGGATGCGTGCATAGGAGTGGAAGGGACTTTTGTTGTCACAGGAAATAAATGCATCCAGAAATATTCAGGTTTATAGCTTATCCAACTGAAACTCACATATTTGAATTCTTTAAACAGCATGATGGGCACTTTGGGCACT